CAGTGAAGCTGTAGCCCCTCTGTTACACCTCGCTATAATGGACAAATGGCGATCTTCTCTGGCCGTCGTGGCTCTTGGACAACCTTTCCCAGGGCTTCTCTCGATGGATCCGGTAACCTGGAACTGTTTCCATAAGTTACACAAGACGCTGGGCATTAAATTGAACTCTCTACAAATCTGGACCTGCGATTGGCTTTTACTGCATTAACTACATTTTACTGTTACAATTTAAACTTAAAGGTCAGATAGAGAAATAGTCATGCTCTGAAGTCCTTATGATTTGAAGTCTCTTAACGAGCTTTAAACTTTTATCTCAACCCAATACTATCTTATTGTTTTTTTATAACTCTTGGACAAGCTAAAAGGCACGCCAGTCATTAGCTCTTATGAATTAAGCCAGGAAGGTGCGCCTTTTGTTTCACAAGAGAGCACCGCAAGGATGAAGGTGCGACTTAGCTCAAATCCTCTCGGATGGATAACAGATCCACTCATTCATGAGGCTCCTTCCACCATTTTGACATAGATCTGTAGAGAAAATTTTCTCCTTATCTTTGTGAATTTTCTCCATATTTTACAAGCACCAATATCGCATGTACACGGTGGATCTTAATAGAGTCTAGGATCAAATCTTGGCTCCACCAGATCGCAGCCCGATTCTCTGACCACTGAGCTACCATGGACCACTATCTTCATTTCTATATAATTTATTACTATGCTTTTTTTCGTTTTCTTACTTTTTCTTCGAGTTTCATTCATTTCAAAAGCCCATCGTGTAATAAAAGATTAAAACTGTAGTGTCTTCGAGTACTGAGTTTCTTTGCATTATGACTACCAAATGTAGTTTCCAAGTAGCATTGTTATGTATGTAAATCAAATCGTAATGCATTTAAGTCATAGGCTTTACAGGATTGCCTATTTTTAAAACCTTATTTTAAAAAGAGTATCGCCATTCATACAAAACTTATACTGAAAAAGGATTAGTGACGAAAGTCAGCTTGAAATTTGAGGCCATCTAAAAATAACTGCGAAATCAGTTTTGGTTTTGACGTACTCAGCGAGTAGGGGTGAGACTTGTTAGTATTTTATATTCTATAACAGAAAATTATTCACACTTGATGATTTGAGTTGTCACTGATTTAAAGAATGCTTTTCAAATAATCAAAATCTATCTTTTATTATGTCTAGACCACACAAAATATTAGCAAATTCACAACATTTATTTTTAAATTGAAACCTTATTTTTTTTCATAAATATTGCTTTTTTTTTTTTGCTTTTGGCGTCACCGAACCGTCAATTCAGTCAAAATAAAATTAATTAAACCTAAACTATCTTTTTCCTAAACTGTCTAAAATTTCTAAACTTATCTAGAGCTCCAGACGAGTCTAAACTAAAATGACATTTGGCGCAATTCAATTGAAATACTTGGCGATCATGGCTCTCTAAAACTCATTAAATAGAAATCGTTTGAATTTATTATGCAAAGGCGTGGGAGAAAACTCAAATAAAATTACTCCTACTATTTCTCTGAAATTTAACTACCAAGTTCAGCTAGTAACCTTTACCTTGTCAAGTTAAAAATTGTTGATAATAACTTAACGTAGTTTCATTCTTTTCAAATAACAATGCAGTCTTCCATTTTAGAGGAAAAATATTCTTAAAATCTCTTAAATTAACAAAAATAGGCATTCGTTACGAAAAAGATCACGAACTTGTTTTGTTACGAACTATCAAAAAAATTTATAAAACGAGTAGTTTGCGTTATGGGATGCATTATTTAATGATTTCTTTTTTTAATTTTGACTAATGAGGACAATTTGACTAATTAGAGAAATATTAACGATCATTATTTTAAAAATTAATAAGCAATTTTCCAAGATAATGAAGCAAATCTAAAATTTCCGCACGAATCCACTCAATAAGAAAATGTTTAAGAAAACAAATTACCGTCCGGAAAAAGTCAATATTTTTCAAATAAAAGGTGAAATTATTTTTCATATTTTTGAAAAATACCTCTTAAATATATAAATTTTAAAGATGTTACTATAGAACAAAATATTAACTTTAAAATAAGTTATTTGTGTTGCTGTTATCTATTATTTTGGAACCGTCCGAAAGTGAAGTTTATTTCAATTTTATTAGATCATATTTATTGTAAATACATATTTATACATATATTATACATATTTATTGTAAAATTAAATAAATAAATAAATGAATAAACGTAGTCATTAAATTTTTATTATCTCCTTGTTGTGATTAGTTTCGATGGAGAAATATTAAATTTTTTACTTATATATATTAAACCTCTTTTACTTATGCAAAAAATGCTTTTAAGCGATATATATTTAATAACATTAAATTTTTTCTTCTTAAATCATAAAAAGTAATTATTGTCATACGTTTGGTGAAATTTATAATGTTATTCTTATAAAATATTCGAATAACAATATAAAATATTTTATAATGTTATTCTTATAATATATCTAAGATACGGAGATCTTATCTGTAGAAGAAGAAAAGAATAATTTCTATAGACGACTCCTGGGTGTGGCTACTCTGGCCGCAGTTTTATTAATAACATCGTGAAAAAGCCACGCGAAATTGGTCTGTCCCTTTTTTTATTCAGAGATTCTGAAAGGGAATGAATTGCAAGAAAATCTTTATCGTAATCGAACGTTATCCGAAAGAGAAAATTTAACCATCTTCTTTTGTTTTAATAGATGAAGCCATGCAGACTATGAGAAATTTTTGTGGTTTCCTTAATGAGTATATTTCCAAGAATTATCATCACTTAACTTCATGAGAACGAGCAATTGCTTCATCTTAAAATTAATAATAGAATCTATTTAGCTATAAATTAATATAGAAAAACCCGTATGAAACATTCTTATTATATTTTTAGGGACAAAGAATTTATTTTGATAAGATTCTGTAAAACAAACTTTTTAATCTGTTTAAAAATATTAATACTATTTTTTTATCTATAAGCAAACACTTCGTTTTTTTAAAAAACAGTAAGTTTTTACTTCAGTTTAGAAATTTAAAAAAAAAAAATTCCTTTAAAACTGAAAAGTTTTCTTTCTGTATTTATTTTTTAAGACATCAAAAGAAATGTAGATGCTTTCAAATATCAAAAACCTTTCAAATAAATAGGCGTTTGTAATTTGTTTGCTTGTTTTTTTATTTCATAGAAAAAGATCTGAAGCTATAAAAATAAGAATATTGCGAGTGTCAAGATAAAAAAGCCAGCAGTGTCGAAGAATAAACTTTCATAAAATAGAAGAATCTTGCTAATAATTTCTTAACTCAACTGACTCTCTCTTTTTTTTTTTTTTTTTTTTTTTNTTTTTTTTTTTTTTTTTTTTTTTTTTTTTTTTTTTTTTTGATTTTCAATGTTTTTTTAGAGATAAAGACATTCCTTCATTTCATTATTGACTCTGATGAATCTAAGAATGTTCTAAGTTGCAACTTCTTTATAAAATTCAATAAAAGCCAAAACTACTTTTCTTAAACTTCTTCGTGTTTAAACTTACAAATGATTCCCAAAAATGTTCTTTCAAAACATTTATGCTTTTTTTTTCGCTTCCTTCTTTCTTTAAAAAAAGAAAGAATGAAAATATGTTGTAAAAACATTTGAAACGTCCTTTTAAATATTGCTTCTGAACTATTAATTCCATTGACTTGTTTTTAGTCTATTTCAATTCAGCTTACACTGAGAAAAAAAAAAGGCCGAAATCATATATTATGGTAAAAGTCGTCTTATTTCTGGCTCTATGGGGGCACCTAACTATAATTTTAAAAACTATAACTTCCTGTAGACCGCTACCATATGAACGGAAAAATTACCATATGAAATGGCTTAAATACCGTATATTTTGGTTTTATTAACCCGAATTATGGTCTTTTTTTACCAGAAATGCCATTACCATACAGTGTGATAATTTTACCAAACTTTATTCTCCTTGTAAATCAAATACGCATAGAACAATACTTGTCTAAATACCTAAGTCAGGTGGTACCAAATGACATTGTATCATAGATACATATCACTTTTTATTCTTAAAACTACCTATCTTCGTATCACCTCGAATTTGATCTCCTTCAATTCAGCATAAGAAAATTCCACCTGAACACGGCCTCATTTGTCAAGATAGCAATATTTAAGTTCTTCCTAAAATTGAAGCCCTTTAACACTTTTTCAAATAAAGATCTACCAACAAAGGCGAAATTATTACTCGTTCATGAGGAAATTTTGAAGAGATGGTGGAGATGAACTGGACATACCTTTCGTTTAAAGTAGGAAAGCCCTGCTAACATCGCACTTACTTGGGGACCCGATGAAAAACGAAGAAGAGAAAGGCTGAAGCTTACTTGGCAAAGATGCATGCATTAAGATCTGTGCAAAGCGAAACTAAATTGATGGGAGGAGGCAAGAGACTAAAACAGAGGTACCTTAAAAAGATTTAGAACAAAGGTGCCTGAAAAAGAGACTTGAAGCTTTATGTGCCAGCTAGCACGAAAAGGATATTTAGGTAACTTTGAAGCCAAACACCCGAGGCTGTGTCTCTTTTACCATTTACTGTAAGACTTGCAAGTGAGAAAGTTCATAAAAAATTGCTTCTGGGTAGTACTTTTTAGGGAGGAAGCTTCCGGGTTTTAACGATTTTTGAGCTGACTTTTCCGTATTAATCATGTAATAAACTAATTCCCGAATAAGCTAATTATAAGGTGTTGCTGCATCATGATTAAAATAGAACTGCATTTTTTGATAGTAAATTCCCTTATGATTCCAAATTTAGACGAGAATTTTAAAAATATATAAAGGGAGATATTTAAAGCACAACGTCTTGTTAAAAAATTTTTTAAATCAAATTGTTATCAAAATAAAATAAATCTCAAAACCAACTCTTTTCTTTCTTTTCCCTAAATAATTCTTTTTGTGCTGAAACAATTAATGCAAATGATAAGCATATTTAAAGAAGTGGTGTTTTCTTTACAGACAGCAACTTTGTGCTTGGCAATGCTCAAGTGCCTCACCTGTATCCTATCGTGTACTGTTCCGATGGGTTCTGCGATTTAACTGGGTTTCCTCGAGCTCAGATCATGCAGAAAGGATCCGCTTGTACATTCCTATATGGTCCCGAGACAAAAGATGAACTGAAACAGGAAATAGATGATGCACTTGACAAAAAAATGGAGTATAAACTCGAAATTATGCTCTACAAAAAAGGGGGTAAGTAACTTTAACTTCATTACTTCTTTAAGTTACTTTTTAAATGAAATCTTTTCATAATTATGATGCAAATAAAGCAAATACAATTTACTGAAATAATGTTTAAAAAAATCACTTTATTTTTATTCTTAGAAATAAAAACTCTCACGTTTGACGATTCAGTTGTATTTCGTCAATTTGGAGAATCATTTCGTCACGAAATCATGTGTTTTGTGGCGAAACGCGAACTCTCAAATGTATGACGAAAATGTCACCTTAACTCTGAACATCCTTTCAGTGCATTATGGATGATTGTTAACTAAAATGAAAACAAAACGATCAAAACTAGAATGACGAAACAAGCCGAAGTATGGTGGTCACGGAATTGACCTCATACCAGGAAAACCCCGCGTTCAAGCAACACCTCCTAGAAAAGAGTAGGCCTCTGCACGGGTTACCATAAATATCCTTATAAATATCCTTTAGTAGTCCAAACGTAATGACTTATTTCGTATTTTCAGCCACTGCGCAGCTCAGTACCCCGAACGTAATGACATCTTTCTTATTTTTCATCAACTGCGCAGTTAACTTCGTCACATCGGACTACTAATTTGATCCGTGCTGAGGCCTTCCTTATTCTAGGAGGTGTTGGTTCAAGTTCCGAATCGGGCATGGATATAATTTATATCTGTGTGTCCTTGCGTTGATGGGACGACGTTAATCTACCTATATGGTGCCCACGAAAGAGTTATCAGCAATACCGTCAGTTGGAAACCAAAATACCATGAAGCACTACAAGGGCGTCATAGTACTTTTTTTCTTTCTTTTTTTTTTTTGGAGGAAAAAAATTAAATGATAAAAAATTTCTTTATTTGTGAATTAATTCGTTTCTTCGAAGAAGTGACGATGGCTATTTCGTCATTTTGACGAAATTTTTGCTCGGAGCATATACAAGGAAATGATTTTATCAAAAACGAAGAAGGTTTCGTGATATTTAAATATCCATTTTTACAGTGTTCTTAGAAGACTTCGATTTATTTAAGGCCACACGGCCTTCTTCAGAAAAATAATTTTGAGAACTGCAATGCTAAATCATTTTTTATTATGATAGGGCATCCTATCTACTCTATAAAATTTTATTTTGATAATAAAAAAAAATCAGTTTGACAAGCCATTATTTAAAAATATCAAAAAATTAGTATTGATCACTTTTTCAAATTACTTACATTTTAAGCAAATTTTTGTACAAATTTAAAAATCCAATTCTTTTTTTAAATCCTAAGAAATGTTTTTGTAACGTTAAGTTTCAAAATAAAAGTATAAAAAAACATAGTTCCATAAATGCATGAAAATTTTAAAAATAATAATTTTAATTTTATTAAAAAAATTCCTAGATGTCATACAAAACTCCTTACAAGCTTCTAAAGCACATATATATGAAAGTATCAACAAAACATTCCAGAACTCTATCTTTAGCAGAAAAAGAAACATTAAGAAATCGAAAACACTGATAACGACAAAAATTGAAGGCCTTAAAAAGGGACTTTTCTTTTCAATATAAAAAATCAAATAAGATATCAAAAACTCCATAGCATCGAACGTAAAACAAATATCAGGTAGACTAGTAATGAAAGTTGAAGTTAATAACTGATCTATCTAAGGAATATATTTTTATAAAAATATTTTTAAAACTAGTTTTAAAAATGCTTCAGAAAGGAAACGCCACTGAAATGTCAAATTTGGAGACGGCCTCCACTCGTAAAATTTCAATTATCTTCGAAACTACTTGAATTTTAGAACCAAAATTAGAAGGTAATTTTTTATACCGTAAATTACCAAAAAAAGAAAAAAAAATGCCATAAGTCTTAAGGATAGATAGGAAGCTCAATCATAATAACTGCTTTCAATGGTGCCTTCTACAGATTAACTGCCAACAAAACAACAATGTATAATAATAATAATGATTTTGAGGAATAATGTCTTTTAGTCATGTGGCATTTTTATTTTAGTTATTGGCTCAATGGCTTTAGAACATCACTTGAGATTTTTGACAAAAAGTCGCAAGTCCTCAATGTGACTTTTAATTTTTGAGGTGAGATTGAATCTGCAAAATGGGCTTTCCACAACTTTTAGACTATTTTTGCCTTGTGCGCAAAACCCAGGTCTTGATAAAATGCCTGATAAATGCCTGCTTGATAAATGACTTCAAATTTTGTTCTCATTGTAATAAAAAATTTCGACCCACGAACTAAAATCTAATTTCCGTAGATAATCGCTTTGTAAAGACTTACAAATTCGTATTTGAGAAACAAACTCTTCAAGACACGCAAACAAGCACAAACATTTCAAACGCAGATGCAAAGAAAATATGACTTACTATCAATCAAAATAAAACTAAAATATTGAAAAATAATCCTAATAATTAAATGACATGTTCTAAGAAAATAACAAACTAGAGGAGGTAAGCAGTTTTACGTATCTAGGAAGTATAATTAACAACAGAGAAGGAACTGATGAAGATATACTAAATAGATTGAACTAAGTCCGATCAATCCAAATAGCCGAATTTGGCGATCAAGCCAAATAGTACTTGCGCTATTCTAATAAATTCTGAAAGAACAAAACAAAACAAATCCAGCAAAAATTAGAATTTTCAATACTAATGTTAAATCTGCCCTACTCTATGGATCAGAGACTTGCCTCTGCAGTAAAAATAACAAGAAAAAACTTCAAGAATTTATTAACAACAGTTTAAAAGGAATCTTAAGTATCAAGTGGTTCCATAAAACTTGCAGCGCAAAAATCCTTATAGAAACAAAACAGAAACCAATTGAACTAGAAATTTAAAAACGTAAATGGAAATGGATTGGTGATGCTCTACGTAAACTTGAGAACCTTAAAGTAAAAGAAGTTCTTGATTGGAACCCTCGGGGCAAAAGAAAAAGAGGAAGATCATTCCTATCGTTGGCAATGTCTGCTATTCGGCGAAATGAATGTCTGAGCCATTAAAACGGTTTTAAGTTCAAAATTTCAGTCATTCTCGTCACATTTATGTCATTGATAGCTTTTCAGGACGATTATAAGTGAAATGAAAACAATAAGAAAGTCTTGATGGAACGAGGCAAAATATATGAATAAAGTGAGGTGGAGAACTATAATAATAGTCCTATGCTTCAATTCGGAATGAAGAGGAATATTTATGTATATGTATGTAAAAAACAATGACAACTAAAATTTCAATAATATCCATTGTTTAATGTATAGGACAGCACTCGGTACAATTTTATCTACTCAAAAATAATATTTTAAAATCTAATTCTGCTTGTAAGTCTTTACAAAGAGATTATCTACGGAAATTAGATTTTAGTTCATTGGCGAAATTTTTAATTACAATGCGAAATTATGAGAAAAGTAAGAAATTCCTTTGAAGTAACCATTATGACATTTAAATATCTACTTATTTGAGTCCAGTGGATTTTGTTTCATGATCAAACTGCTCATAAATACACTGTAAAAACATCCAATAAAATGCAAACGAAAAATGTTAAAATAATTATTATTTTATTAAATAATTAGAAATATTAAGGAAGTAAGTTAAGTTTAATTAACTGAATTTTTTAAAAAAATATTTCATGACATTAAAGGGTTTCTAAGATACATATTTTGAAGTAAAAATAGCATTTTTTGCCGTTATTGAATCTCAGGAGATGTTCAACAAAATACCGATTCGTTGAATATCTATTTTTTCATCTCTATATTTACTAATTTATAATTGCTCCAGAACTGTTTTATGCTGTGTTTTTGTTTCAATTTCATCTAACATAAAAATTGCAAGTTGTTTGGGAACAGGAGAATATTTATGAATCCCTTAAATGAATTATAAAAAGTACTAATTGCACGAAAAGTACAAATTTATTCAGAAATGTTACATTATTTTTAATTATATTAGTATAGAGTTTATATTACCAATCCAAAATTTTAAAAGTTGTAATTTATGGGAATCAGTTCTGTGATTGGAGGAAAGTAAAAATTTATCCACCCACGTATTCTTTTTTCTTTCTTTTATATTAACTAAGTATAGCAACAATATTAACTAAGCAAAAGTATTCGTTTTTTCGAACCACGTATTTAATTTTTAAAAACTTTTATTGGCGTTTTCATCAATGATTTATGTTATTGTATGCTGAATGAATAAATAAAATGTTCAAAAAAATTATATTTTTATAGTCATTATATCAAGAGACATTCTTTGCCAGTGCATTCAATGTTAATTCTGAAAATCGCAAATTAAAATACGTTTGTGATTTAATTTTTTAGCATTTAAAAAGTTACTCCAATGCCGCATTATCTGAATTTATGAAACTTTGCTGAAATTGGGGAAACTTTTTTTAAAAATCAACTAACTGACGATTTCAAAAACGTTTAATATCTTTTAAAATATTTAAGATATTCAACCAGATTTTTTTTCTTTATTGCAGGATGGTATGTATTTACAGTTAGAAATTTCATGGCTTTGCTTCAAGTTTAAACTGTGGCTTTTTTATTTTATTTATTTATTTATTTATTTATTTATTTTATTTTTGGCTAAAGAGATTTAAGCAAACACTGGTAAAGATTTTTGCTCTTAAATGTGCAATTTTAAATAATTTTATCTTATTTCATAATGATTTTTTATTATTCAATTTAGCTACAACACCTTTCTGTTTATACGTGGCATTTTTATTTTATTTATTTATTTTCTTTTTGGCTAAAGAGATTTAAACAAAAACTGGTAAAGATTTTTGCTCTTAAATGTGCAATTTTAAATAATTCTATCTTATTTCATAACGATTTTTTATCATTCAATTTAGCTACCACACCTTTCTGTTTATACGTGGCTTTTTTATTTTATTTATTTATTTATTTATTTATTTTCTTTTTGGCTAAAGAGATTTAAACAAAAACTGGTAAGGATTTTTGCTTTTAAATGAGCAATTTTAAATGATTTTATCATCTCTTATAATGATTTTTTATCATTCAATTTAGCTACCACACCTTTCTGGTGCCTATTAGATATCGTTCCAATAAAGAATGAGAAGCATGAAAATGTTCTTTTTCTCGTGTCTACGAAGGATGTGACTAAGAACAAAATGGCAGAAATGGAGTTGGACGATGAGGGCGAGGATAATGGTTTGAATACTTTTTGTCTATCAAAATCATTAAAAAAACTAAAACTAAACTGCATTGAAATTTAAATTTATCCAAATAAAACTACTCAAAGTAGATAAATTCGAACTAAAGAGAAACAAATAAAGCTTTAACATGTTGAGCACTGCGTCAGCCATCTGTGGCTGACACTAGACTTTCCTTTTAGGCCGCGTAAACCACCGGTGTCTGACACTGAAATTACATTTAGGCTGCGTCAACCACCGGTGGCTGACACTGAAATTACATTTAGGCAGTGTCAACCACCGGTGGCTGACACTTAAATTACATTTAGGCTGAGTCAACCACCGATGGCTGACACTGAAATTACATTTAGGCTGCGTCTGCCACCGCTTGCTCTGACACTGACCATTCACATAGGCCGCGAAAAACAGCTGACTGACAGCGTATAACATGATATAGAACTATAAAATTTACTCTTTTAAGGAATTGCAGAAAATTTATTCAAAATTTACTTAAAGAAGTTATTTTATCGATTAAGAGTTCTATTATAGATTGGGGGTGCCATACATATTCAGAGATGCCAACTTGCTCGGGACAGCAAATATATATTTTAAAGTGGTAGTTTATGTGATTCTTGGTTTAATAAATTCAATTTAGTAGATTTTTATCCACCACTATTTCAACATAATTCGTAGGCTTATGTTATTCACCACTTTTGTCAGTTATGTCATGCTAAACCTTCTAAAAAAATAGCAAAATCCGTCTAATATTTGCAAATTTAGTTTGTAGTTATTTACCGTGGCCAGATGAGCAAGCCATGTAAAAATAGCGAGGCATTCAGCGTGTTAAATATGAAAAAAAATTGTAAAAGCTAATATAACTTTAGTCCTGTTAAACATATCTTTATTTCATCCATTTCATCTAGTACCGTTGAATTTTTCTTTATTCAACCAAGATTTTTATTCGATTTTTTTTAATTTTGTTCGAACATTCCTAAATATCAGCATTGTTTTCACCATATTTTCTACCATTTCTTCCCTAACTATTTATGTATCTCATTATATCAAGCATTCTTATTTTCATCTAATATTCTTAATTTTTTTTTTAAATTTCGAAGTTACTTCCTTTTAAATTTTGAGTATGCTTCTCAGGTTCTTATACTGTCATAGTTCAATTGCATGAATAATTGTTTGTCATGTTTAAAAAAAATTTGCATTGATAATTTTTGGCATTTACTAAATTTAAAACAATCAAACTTTCTGTTTTAATCATGAACTATAATATTTACGGACAATCTATTCTGACGTCATCACATCACTTCTCTTGTGTTCCTGTCATATTTTTGCCTACTTCTGTGAGATTATATCATGAATGATGAATATATTTATAGCATGAACGAATGAATTATTTACCTGTGTGCTTAATTTTAAAATTGTGTTTTTCTTGCTACATTTCAATGAAAATTATTGAAAAAAGATAGAATTCCATGAATTTATTTAGAATTATTCTCATATCGTGCATTTTTCTGGAGAAAAGGACATTTCTAATCAATTTTAAATCATTTATCTACTATTTTAGTTCGATTATTTGTAAAAGATGTTTCTGTCATATTTTTTCCTATTTATTTAATTTGTCATATGATTCATTTTAATATTAAAAAAAGAAAAGGAAAAATCCACATTAATAATACTTTTCGAAATTTATTCTTTATTCAAAAAGTATAAATGGTGCACGTCATCCATATAAATAAGCATTTCATTCAACTTTGAAATAAATTTAAGAACAATGAAAATTATTGGAAATTTAAATCATAATTTGTTTTACAAAATGTACTTATGTCTTCGTTAACAAACTACGTCTTCAAAGAATTTCCATCTAAGCATTTTGTGGAAATAAAAAAAATAATCAAACGATTGCAAACAGCTTCATAAATTCCATGAAAAAAATAATAAAAAAAAACAATAAACTCAATTTTTTTGTAATTAATAGTTAAGCTTTTCAGCGAAACGTGGCGCTGAGACCGTTCGCATCCCATTGGGAAGAAAACTATCTCTTTTTATATGCTTCAGCATTAGAGTAAAAACTCTTTATATATTCCTGTGTGGTTTTAAATAAGAAATAAAAGTTTATTTTTATGGTAATAGCAACATCCCAGTTTAATAAAAGCTCTTACATGCAAGTTTTTTGTGGAATTTTTCAGCTTTTTGTTTAACTATTTCCAACAAACAACAAAATCAACTGAAAGTTTTGATGATATATTTTTGCAAAGTCTAAGCTTCCTTATATTTTTTAAGCTATTAACTCTAATAGGCTTTTAATTGCCATTCTAGCCCGTTTAAAAAAAACACAAAGATGAATTTTTTTAACTTCTTGGTTAAAAAAAGGCATTTCTTTTCTTTCGAAGGAACTTCTAAAACACAAAAAATATAGTTCACATATTATTTATGTTAATCTAATATTTGCGATAAGTATTTATTTAGATGTATTTCCTGAAATATAACTATCCCTCAATTCCACAACGTGACGCATTTGTTTTACTTTTATAATTTTAAAGTGTAGACATAGCACAAAAGGTGGCAAACTTTAAATAAACGTAATAAAAAAGAAAAGAGTTCAATTTTAAAGCCTTACAAGTTACCAAATAATTTTTTGCTAAATTTCCTTTTCTTATGTTGGAAGTTACAGTATTTTGTAAGAGTTCGGATTTCTGTTTTTTATCATCCTCAATAAACAGATTTTGTTATTTCTTTTATCTCATAATCTTATATAAGAGGCATAGATGTCAATTTGTGGTGTTTAAAAAAATTTCTTTCCTAAGCCCCATTTTTCCAGTTATTTCTTATCTTATTTTTTTATTTATACTTCAACCGCATCTTTTTTTTAAGAGAAAAAATTTTTGAAATACTCAATTTATTTGATAATCTAATTTAAAACCAGCATTTTCTTAACCAGTACTAACAAAGGAGGTACCTACACGATGCGCAATTTATTCTTATTTATTTATTTATAGTTGCACATACATATGCAGATTTATGAGCTTAATACAAAGTAAAGCTTAGAAGCCGTTGCCAAGTTGAAGAACAGATAGATAGCACAAGTTAGAGTTGCTTATCACGTAAGGTGATTTATAAACCCTGATTTGAGGACAAATCAGAGGATTGTCCTCGAAAAACTTTACGATTTAAAACACCCATACATTTATGGAAAATATTAACTTATACACACGCGCATGCAACAACAAAAAAAAATTTTAAATTCATAAACAATATCATGTCCAGAAACATGTTCATCACACTTGATTTCATCACTAAGCAGTTTTGAAATATAATATGATATTCTGCTTTTGAAATCATGTATAATGAATGAGTACCTACCTGATCAATGAGAACTGTTAGAATTAATTTAAGACAAATATGACGTTTTCATCTGTTTGTCTTGCACTATGCTTTAGCTTTGCGTTTGTGTTCTCGGTAAGACAAAATTACCTTACTTAAAAAAGTGATTTTTTTTTACATTTCACTGCCTATGTTTTCGGAGAAAATTTAAGACATTTGAGAAAACGTGTTAAAAATTTGAATAGTTTTCTGTCCTTAAAGTTTTTGAATGTTTTTGAGGATAACCGATGAAATTCAAGAACTGTCTTTAAGATTTGTGGACGTTTGGCCACCTTAACACCACATAGAAACATCCAGAGTTCCGTTTCCATTCCAACTCGCTGCCTCCACGCACATTTAGTGTAACATTGAGATGACTCGGCCAGAGTGTCTTCGCTGTTTATACAAAACAGCTGAAATTTTATAATCAGTTTAGTTTTACTCCTCTGACAATCGAATTAATGAGTCAAAATATTTGTTGGTGTATGGTAATTATTAAGTGCGAGTCTATAATGTGGTATATTTTAATTTCCAAAAAAATTAAAAATTATCTTAGATTATATTTTTAAAAAAAAACAACTATGAAAGTTTCTTATTGTATTCAAAACTGCTTGGCAAAATATCTTAATTTATTTATTAATTTACTTTTTTTTTCTGAAAAGTTCTAAAAACAATTTTCAGATCTTCAAACAGATTTGTTGTAAACAGATCTATGAAATTGTTGCACTTTATAAAAAGTTTTATCCGATTAAATGCTTTAAAAAACACCATCACAAAATATTGCTACACCTTTAGCAGTTTTAATAGTTTAACTCTAAATAAAGAAAAGACGCTTTTATTTTAAATATCGTATTTTGTCCTACATTCAACACATTGCAAGGTAAACTAATGATATACTGAAACATTCTCCCAAATTTTCGTGTTTGCAACTATAAAAACTAGCAGTAGTTTTACTGCTTGTAATTTAGACATTTAGAAGACGTAAACCTGATAAGTTTTACACATTTATTAGTTGAATTTAAATTGAAACGAACCAAATTAAAATTTAGTGTCTATTACATAATAACTAAACAAAAGTTAAATATTTATTGAACTTAGTTTAGTTCCGTCGTAAAGTACTTTTTTACATGATTTGCAACTACGCTGAAACCCCTTACCACCAGGTATGATGATGAAAAAGCAATAAAAAAATTATTCACGGTAAGCGTTGTATCTTTTTCTTATGTGCTCTTTCCGCCCAGTTTCTCTTGCATTGCAACATCTGTTTCTTCCAGCTAAAGAGATCACATGTTGCAATTTACCGTAAAAAATATTAATATATTTAAATTATAATAATTCACCCAAAAACTAAGTCATGACCTGATTAAGGCTACACGGTACCCTTTTTTAAAAAAATTTTTTAAGGCCTGTAATATTAAAAGTAATAATAGATTTTCATTTGTATTATATTATTAAACTGATTTTCAAAAAGAAAAGGGAAATCGACAAACCACAATTTAAAAAATTTAAATTTTTTTAAAAAATTCAAGATTTTTTTAAATTTTTATAACTTTTTTAATTTTCAAAATTTTTCAGTTATTTTAAATAATATAAATATCTTAGATTATTAGGAACAAAAGTTAGTATGGATTTGATGCTCTGATACTTAGTTGAATCTTAATTATTTTTATCGTTACTAAACACGTGGAAAACCCGAAAATTCTAAAAACTCCAACTTCAAATTTTTATTAAAAAAAATGTATACATCTCACACTGAAATCCATACTAACTTTTGGTCTGTATATACATAAAAGTTTCTACAAAAAATTTCAAGGCTTTATCTTTAAAGGGAAAAAAGCCTTAGGGAATCGAAAACAGTGGCATCAACAAAAAAGAAAGTCTGAGAAAATGACATTTAAAGTAAAGAGAACCATAAAACCAAAACTAAAAATGCTTGTACAGTCCTACTTTCTTAATATATTATAAACAAACTTATTGCTGGTCCAAAAACACTAATTTACTTGAATATTAATAGTATTATATTTTTTCACATTTAAAATTTATATGTAACCTGTATCGGCTAAAATACACGTAACATTGGTTTAGACAAACAAAGCAATAGGATTAAAGAAATAGCTAGCATAATTATATAAATATTCAGTCAATCAAGTATAACAAATATTCTGTTACGAATGTATTTATAAATTAAAAAATATTAGTCTTAAAAAAGACTTTTTATAAATAAAAATTTAGTAAAAACACAACTTTAGAACGCATCCATCAAACACCGAACATAAATAAACAACAATGCTTCTAGAAGTGAAAGTGAAATTTGATAACTTTTGGAGAAAGTGAAAATTAATAATCATCGAAATAAAATAAGTCTTTTTTTGAAAAAAAAAGTTTTAAAATTAGATTTAAAAGAAAACGAAACTAACCACGCCCCCTCGCTTGTCAAATTGTGAGTCTGACACAACTCGGAAAAATCCTAATATCTCTAAAACTAATTAGATCTCAGATGCAAAATTTTTCAACTTGCTTCCCAACCACATTAGCCACCCAAAAATGCAAAAATATTTTTTTGCATATTTTTGCGAATTTTAGGGTACTGTGTAGCCTTAAATGAGATCCCATATCACAAATCCCCAATTTTTTTATGGGGGGATGGTACATAGACCTTATGCGGGTCTTGGGGTCAACTCCAGACCACTCTTTGGTTATTTAAGATTTAAAGGAGAGAGAATAATGTATGCAAAAGTTTTTCTCTTATCTACAATTCTTTTTCCAGTTACAAAGTCAATTTTCACTGCATTTGTGTGTAAAATAAAACAAAATTAATGGAGCAAAAATAAAGATACAGAAATGGAGTTACTATAGTTTTGGTTCTATAAACAGAAACCTTTCTTGATGTTTGAACACAAAATCCTTCACGCTTTTTTGAGTTTAGACATTGAGGAAGGTTCTTGTTTATGGAACCGAAACTATAGTATGTCCTTTTCTGTTCCTTTATTTGTGCTTTACTCACGTTGCTCTTTTTTATCCCTAATGGATCTCCCGTGTAAGCCTCCTCTTTTTCTCACAGCGTAACACACACATAAAAAAATTCTTTCTTTCAATACAAAATAGTAATACTGTTTTGTATGTACTTTATTGAATATAAAACTGTAAAATATTTTATTTACTTCATTTATAACGGTTTAAAATACTTTAAAAGTGAAAAATAAATGGATCATGAACTTGTGTGATGCATAAACAAATGTTATACTTTCCGGGCTAACCTGAACGCTTTTAATCGTGAAACAATGAGTCATAATTTAATAAGAACAATAAAAAACAGCAATGTAATTGATGAATATTTCTTTGCAGAAACAGAGAATCACTTGGATATCGAAGGATGTTTGCCCAGCAACCACTATCAGAGAAGAAGATCAAGAGCTGTTCTTTATCAGCTCTCAGGGCACTACAAGCAAGACAAAATTAAATCCAAGCTTAAGCTAAACAATGTAAGAATTAGAACAAAAATAATTCCATGCTTATATTTTATTTTTATTCTACAAACAAAATCTGAATGCTTAACTACTAAATGTTTGAAATGAGTATCTATTGAAAAAATTTTCCTATTATGATTTCTCGCGCATTCGGAACTTAGTCTTATTTTTGACAAATTTTCATGAAAAGATTTCAAATGTTCAACATATCGCACCTATGTAATAATGACGTTAGAAAGAATAATTAACGCAACGTGTAATTTAATTAGTTACTTATTTAATACACTTTAGACACCTTCAAAACTCAATATAGATTTAAATTGAAGTTCATAACTTTTTTGAGCGTGCAATGATTAGGGAAACCGAAATATTAAAATCTAAGCGTTGAAACTAATATATGAAAAAAATGTCACATGGCAATAAAAATAGTTCTAAAACAAACCATCGCTTTTTTATATCGATCTTTTCAACCGTCTTTTTATGAAAATTCTTGGTAAAAATATGAATAAATATCGTTGAAAGGTGTCTGCAATTATTGTACATTTGAACACAAACAACAATGATCTATAGATTAAGATCATAATCGTAATTCGATTATCGTAAATTTGAAATTAAATCAAATTTTGAAAAACTAAATAAATCAACAAATGTAATACTTAGACAAAATCGAGAGATAGGTTTACGATAACATAGTGTAATCAGTAATGTATAGTAATTGTCACATTTTAGTTGTTCTACTTATAAGTGACCCTTAATATTGGTTTGAGTGTACCATAACTATATGGTATAAGGTTTGCCCAAATGAAAAGTGAAAAAGTTGAATGAATAGAATACCTTTATTGGAAATGAAAATAAATCGCCATGAGTGTTGTAACTCAGATCCCATCGTTTAGATAGCATGTCTATACCTTTTCTGTAGAAAGATTGTGGTTGATTCTGGTGAAAGTCCTGTATAGCTTCCTACACTTCGTCGTTCGAATGAAAACGTGTCTCCTGTTAATGCTCTTTTAAGTGACCCAAAGATGTAGAAGCCACAGGGTGACAAATCTGGATCGTTCGCGAGATGTTCCAACACTTCCTAACGGAAATTTTGAAAAGTTGTCTGAGTTTCACAGGACATGTGAGAGCGGGCATTGCATGTAGAAGAATCACTTGTTGTGTAAGAAAGCCTGGCCCTTTGCTTTTGATCGCTTTTCGTAGTTTTGTCAGAGAATTAAATCATTGTGTTAAATTGACAGTATCCCCTAGGGGCAGGAAATCCATCGTTGTTGTCATCTGGATGCATTCTTTTATAGCACGGCTTTACTTTCAATTTCCTCATCCACGAACAACTTTCACTGTTGAAGGCCACATGCAGTGCACACCTCTTTCCGCCCTATATATCCGTCTTCAGAAGAGGGGCTAGTCATTCTGGAGCAATCCCACGCATGCACTTTTTATTTGAATAAACCTTATATTTACATAAGTCGCTAAAAATCTATTTATAAGTCTGTTTATTCAACCCACTTGAGCATATTTACTATAATTATTAAAACCACTTGTTATGGACATATATCTCTAAATGTTTCTGTACATGTGCTGAGAGCATTCCGGTAGCGCAATCGAGAAGATATCGCTCACTCCATCGGTGAAAATCCGAGTGTGAGTTCGATCCTTGCAGAAAACTATAAATCCGGAGTGCGCACAGCAAGCTCCACGTTAAAATTGCTGTGGCTGAAAGTCCTCAAATTGGTTGTAAAATAAAAGTTTGGAGACCGGGGCTACCAGCTCGAGTTCTGCCCATGTCACCTTACGTCGCAGTTTAAAATTAAGTAGCATTATTACCATGGCTGTTAAAAGATAGATTACTGAAAAATGGGGCTAAGTTCATGGCCACGGTTGAGTGGAGTGAGCTATACGCAGGGTTTGTCCAAAAACGTAAATTCGCAGATTTTGCAATGCGGTGGATGCATGCTGCAATGTGCTCAATTATCAACATTCATCCAGAGAATAACTACAGTCGTTTCCGTTTCTCATGAAGCACTCATACAGCGAGTTTCGTGTGAAGCTTGGCTGTCCAAGGTGAGAATTTTTCTATCTTACGTGGACTTGGTTGATAGCGGTCAATCAAAATGCAAAGACAAACGGAGACTGAAGGCTCTGAAAAAGTCAGTGGTGAAGCCCGATGAAAAGCTAATAAATGGGATGAGCATGACAGAAATCTTGAACTTAAAACCATTTTAATGGCGCAGGCATTCATTTCGCCAAATAGGAGACTTTTCAATCGATAGGAAAACTTCATAAAAATGTGATGGATACCGCTGAGCACTGCTGGTGTGGCTCCTGAAATGTTGTGTTTTCGAACTTGAAAACACCCATGAAAAGACATGGTGCCGGAACAATAGATTGAGTAAAAGACTTTCACATCAAGGCTCTATGAGACATTCTAGAAAAAAGCCTACCACAACATCTTCGATTCCTAAAAACCTCTTTAAACTATGTATCGCCCAAGAGGAACCGATTTTATAACATTTTAATGTGTTTCTTAGATTCATTAATATTGATAAATATAAATGTTTTTAATCCGACTCAATAGCTATTACTTTTTGGATAACCCCCGTACCTCCCTATATGCTATATTAATCTATAACAGCCAAAATATAAATAAATGATTATTTGCCTTTCTCTTCAACAGCAATGAATCATTTGTCTTTTAATCATATTAAAATATTAATTTATTTTTTAGGGCTTAGGAAGCAAAGTTAACTGCAATAAATCAATTTTTAAAAATGTATTATATTATAAAATTTTTACTCCAACCGGTACTCTCTCAATATTCAAATAATGAGAAAATTAATTAAAATAAATTTCCCTTAATTGAAAAGTTTCTAAAAAATGTTTAATGAAGTTATTTGGATTTTTAACACCCAGAATGAATTTATCGTATATTAAAACTACGTTGATGGAAAAAAGAATATTGCATTATGTAGTTTACTTGAAGCTATCCGTTTCGACAATTTTAAAAGGTAGGATTAACAAGCATATAATACGTCACAATATACTCAAGTATTAGAAAGGTTGATATCCTTACATGCTCAAAAGTTTTTTTAGCCTCTTCTAATTTAAAGTAAAGATGCAAATCCTGAGACAGAATTTTCAAATTACATTATCTAAGATAAACAGCTAGATTATACTTTAAAAATGGTATTTTGCGTAATATCCTTCTTTTTAATTAAAATTTTTGTTACATATTATTACTTGTTTTACATGCATTTATATAATAACTGTTGTAAGATTCGTATTTCACAAATTCAATTTCGTTTGTCCATTTTTCACTTTTATAAAATATAGTGTTTGCATACTTTTAATGCAATCATAGGGACTCAATATTTATCTATTCAATAGACTCAATGTTGAATTGAGCTTACATGAAAAATTTAGCAAACATAACAAAACGCATTTTTGTTGGGGCAACAATGTAATATTGAAAATTGAATAATGTGGCATGCCGGCCAGGTGACCGAGCGGTCAGCGTGCTTGACTGTGACGCTAGTGGCAGCGGGTTCAAATCCCGCTCAGGGCATGGATGTTTCCCTCTCTGTGTGTTGTTCTCTGTTGTGTGATGTGTGAATGTGACCCATCCTATTAATGGGTATCTGCGGCAATGTGGCGTGGGTAATGTTGCTCGCCTCTGTGACTTTGGTTCACAGGTGCCCACTGGGTAACGTTAAATTAGCAACACTTCCGGCATCTTTCGAAGTGAAGAACGAAAGTTTACTGCCTGCCGTTAAAAAAAGAGTTTGGCATTACATTAGTACTTACTTTAGCTGGAGAAACTTGCTGGTTGAACACGTGCTATTTCTTATATAGGTAGACGTGTACTATTTTTTAGAGCTCCACACACTCATTTACACACACGATTCGATATCTTACGACAATCTTAGCACCTCAAATATCATACATTAAGAACCTACTAACTATAAAATTGCATCTAATAATTCGTTCCTCTGGCTGTTTGAGGAATATTGTATACCACTAAAACAAGTGCTTATGATCGGTTAAAATACTGACAAACAGCATTAATCGTGAGCTATCAAAATGTACAAGTACGAATCAGTAACCCGAACCAAAACTCATACTTTTCAAATGGCTATTTAACATTCATTTAATTTGCAAACATTCACATGACTCAGCTGAAATACCTCTTTTCTTTCAAACTTTGAAACAATTATTTCTTTTTAACTTATTTCTTTTTCTTGCGTGTTATTTTTATGTCTTAACAGAAAGGTTTTGTACAATTTAGCAATGTCAATAAGATCAATGTGTTAACCAATTAATGCTCGTTTTTTTATATCAATGTAATGTAAGAAGTAACCATTCATTAATGTTCAAACTAACTTCACTAATGTTCAAACTATTTTCCAGTTAATTCTAAAAAAATCACAATTCCATGATCACAATGGACACATTTTGTTTCTTCAGGATGAAAAGTAAGGATGAAACAAGTATGCATTTAATTTTTATGCCTTTGAAAACAGAACTAGAATTCTTTTTTTTTATCTGCTGTTGTCCTTTTAATATACATATATTTTTTTACATTTCAAAATTAATAGTAACCATTTAAGACTTGTGAAATTATTGTTTGTTTGTTAATTATTTGAATAAAAAGGAATTTTTTGGGAAAGTTTTCAGAAAAAATTGGAAATAGCAACTACTCAATTGATGTGGAATTTTGTGTTAGACATTCTTTTGTATAAAATTTTTTATTTTAAAGAAATTAGTTTTTTTTCTTTTCTTTTTTTCTTTGTTATTCCTAAAATCTCAAAGGCCAACATTTTCGAGCTGCAAGACCAAAGCTCACTAAATAAGGAAAAACAAACTTTTAATCCTTTCATTTAGAAGTAAACTAAAAGGATTATTACAATTTTCAGCTTCCCACAGTTTTTATAACTAATTATACTAAACTACAACTATGCTTCCAAAAAATGTCTCGAAAGGATCTTGCTATTGGGGCGGAAAAGTGAATATCTTTCTTAATTCTCAGAAATCTTAAAATTAAAAAAGCTATTCTTTTTTAAAAATTCTCTGCTCCTTAAGTAATATTCTCTTTTTATAATTTTTTTTTATCTTCCATTCCGGTTAAGCAATCTTAAGTTAAATGAGGCATCATTTAAATAGTTCAGAAAATGAGTAAGTAAAATTATGCATGCGTGTATATTTTTTAAATGCTTTTTCTGACACACAATTTAATGAACAACATCTTCTTAATCAACATAATTTTTGTGTCTTAAGTAATTGATACAAAAAAATACAAATTTATAAATTGCTTTTCTTTTTTTAAATTATTTTCCATCAGAAAAATGATTTATATTCGAATTTTATGTCGGACATGGTGATATAAAAATGCATATCTCTTTGATTTCAATCTAAATGGCTAGAAGGCTTAACCTTAAATATGCTGATTAATTGGTGCAGAAAATATTTAAAGTTAAAAAATTCGATACTGAAACGTACTTTCTCTGAATAAATCTGCCTTTTTTTACAGTTTTGAATTTTTCATTCTCGATGTATTTAATTTTATAACTGAATTGAACAGCCAACACGATTCGGGCCAACATGACGACTGACGTTGTTCAACTCCGTAACCTTGTAATTTCGAACCCAACTCAAAAGACAAGGGACTCAAAGGACCTGTTTAAAATAAGGAACTTCCCCAGACATTCGTCTGGACCTGTGGCGGTGACTATGGTAACGATTTGACTATTTCAAGTAGGGGTGCGGGGTCACTGTTTTGGAGTGGTTTCGACTCGGAAAACCAAGAAAGGGAATATCTTTCTTCTGTCTATTGTGTTAGTCCTAGAGTGAAGCTACCCTCCCTAAAATGGGCCATTCTTGTTTCCATAGCACCAGGCGACTTCAGACTTTGTGGCGGGAGGAGTTCTAAGCTTAGACAAACTATACCTTAGACCTATTGTAATCACTTACACTGCCATAGTCAGAAATGAATTCATTATAGTGGATTGTAAAGCTAGGCCACATCACACTCAGCTAGTGAAAATTTTCCTTTTCAACGAAGAAATTCTTGAAATGAATTCAATCATTCTTTCAAATGCGCGCTTAGCAGAACATGCTTGGAGCATTTTACTCAAAAGAGCAGCTAATCGCTTATCACACCCAGAATCAATTCTGCTGGAATGTTCTCTTCTTGAGAAGGGGAGTGGAGAATACTCCAGTCCCTCATTGGTTCTATGCCTCCTAGGTATGCGATATTGCTTTCGATGAGGAGAAACCACACCATTAATTGAAACTCCCTTTTTTATTCGAGAAGTCAAATTTTTCTTTATCAGTCTAAGATGCACGAATTGCGAATAGTTTTTGTTTACCGAAAAATATCGACAATATAATTTACTTATTTATTTTTCATTTTCTTTTTTTTTAATTTTACAAGACCTTATATCATATATTAGTTACCAAATCACAATCTTAGAATTTTTATTCTAAAATTACGGAAAATTTTTTTACCTCTACGGTTTTGAAATTGTTTACAACTAGTATGCTTAAAATATCATGAATACAAAACTAAAAGGTTTTTTAATCATTTGCAATTAACGTGGTTTAAAAAACCATAAAAAAGATATTTAATTGGACATTTTAGCTAGACTTTTCATTAGGTAATGGGTATTGAAGTTTGACTGTGGTTGAGTTGTGTTTTATTAAATGAACCACTGAATGTGTTTCAATAGCGTATCTGGTTGGTTCACTTCTCGTAAGAGATGGGAAATACTAGGCTTTATTGTGTTAAGCTGCTTTATGATGCTGTCATTTATGCGAGAATGAGAGTATCATATTCTAAATATGCAGAGTGACAAATTCGGAAGTGCATGACATTGCAAACTCTCTATATGTTGAAGGGAATGGAATAAATATTGTGGTATTAACACTGGGAATCGAACCTCCGCTCTGTCGGTCATCAGATTGACAAATTAGCGCTAATTATAATATGTACCCAGCTGCAAGAAACAAAGTACCTTTACTAGGTGAACCTAGCTTTATTAGGTTGGTTCGATAAAATTTTTAATGTTTGAATGTATTAGGCTAAAGCTGTTAATAAATGATTTGTCTCCCATTTAACAGTTTGAATACCGTCTTATTTGTGGTTCTTTGACTATTTTGTCTGAATATGGTAAAATAAGAATTAAATAAATTGTTATTTAATTATTTTTTCCAAGAAATTTCTAACAGTGCATTTCTTTCTCAGCAATTTATAACTAAAATTATAATATCGCTTATTTGTTTTTATCAATGTAGTATACGCCAACCGGTCTGTGTAGGGGGCAGGGAATTGTCCTTGCATCAGAAAAGTCCTGGGTTCGAATCCCGGGCAAAGCATGAATGTTTCTTTCTCTCTGTGTGTGTTCAGTGTCCTTTCTCCTTTGTGTGTGTGAAGGTGTGTGAATGTGACCCGCCCTATGCACGGATTTGTGGTTGTGTGAATGGTGTGACAGAAGTCGAATTCTCGGCCATAGATGGCGCCACTGAAAAACAACAACAATCGCACCCCCTCTGCCTAAACAGGCATACGACAAAAAAAAATTTAGTATACGAATTTCGATAACACACAGATATATGTATTTGATACGTTATGCAAAGAATTTAGGTATAAACTAGACGAAATTGTTGGGGGAAAATAAAAACAAGCTATTTGCCGAATAAAAACATAAAAAAAAGTGTGTTTGGAGATTGAATGGAACATTTCATTTTATTGGAGCTACTATAGCTTTAGATTCAAGCTTTAGAATATCGTGCTTTTAACTAGTATGTGACAAAACTTACAGCAAGCATTCTGGAGCAGTTAACGAAATACAATATCGATCAACTTTTGTTTTCCTTTTTAGAATATTTACTCAGAGTTTTTTCAATTCAATCATATACCTTTTACTGAAGAGGATATTGCAGTTTAATTTACATAGTTGCTATTGTTCAAATCCTTAACAACGCCTGACTGAATATTATTCTCAAATAATATCCTTATTTTTGTTTAACTCGACATTTTTAAACTCGCGGAGTGTACTCAATATTTTTAAAATGTACTTAGTTAAAAGTTTAAAACAAAAATTGCATTTAAGCCCCGAATTGCATTAAAGGATATTATTCTTTCCAAGACTTAGGGATAAAAAAAAAGAGTTTAAATTTATTGGCAACAATAATGTAATCCGATTAGGTTTCCCGAACAGCCAAATAAACATTGATAATGCCTTTTTAACTTTGTATAGGATTACCTTGAATAATGAAATTCTTTGAGACGGTCATGCATTTAAATTAATTCAAACCAAAATAACAGCATCCATTGTTCGTTTCCTAACCTTTTTGAATGTATTGAGTGTCGGGAAAGCGCCATTTTTACTTAGCTTATATTTTGAACTTAATTGTATTTTCTCCCTTTTTCTAGAACTTGCTCCATCGTCCTGCTGTCATGCCTGAATACAAAGCAGAATCAATTGAAAAGTCTCGCTTTATTCTGTCTCATTACGGTTTGTTCAAAACGTGTTGGGATTGGTTGATTCTCATTGGAACGTTTTACGTGGCAATCGTCGTCCCCTACAGCGCCACTTTCCGGGACACGGGCGAGGCTCCTTTATTTAACAAGACAATCATCACAGATGTGATTATGGAGTCTATTTTTATCATTGGTAAGCTGAAAGCAATAAAGATCGTTTGTTTTCATAAACTATCCATTTTATCGATTTCGAACAGACAAAACAGACACGAATTTTTTCAAGATGGTTGCGTAATTTACTTGTTTACAAAAAATATGTAACAGTTCATGACTTAGTGAATAACGAGTTAAACAAAAAATTCCTCGTCATCATAAAAGTGCCTAAAAGTGTTTTTTAACTATGCTTTTAAATTTATTCGCATAATACAAACACATAGTGCTTATGTACCCCTAGTTGGAGAGCATGGGTTAAGGAATTAAATCCTGGTGGCCGACAAGACAACTGGCTTGTGCATGCAGCAAGGTACACATTAAATTTGCCGTGGCTGAAACTCCTCTCATTTATTGGGGTGGGGAAGTTTCTGAGAGAGGACCGGCTCAGACGAGTCGTCTGACGAGGATTGATCAGAATTGAACCTGTCTAACCGTTGCAGTCCTACCATGGTCATTAAAAGATAGAGCCATAAAAATAGGGCTAGGTACTTGACCATGGTTGACATCTTTGCCCAATCTACAAAGACGTAAAAATGATTCCCACCCACTGTCTCCTCTAGATTCAGAGGCAGTATGCTATTTTCATCTTCTCAACATAATTTACGACCCCGTGTTCTGTAGTAAGTTTCAATTCTCTTAATTCATTTCATCACCCCTCTGAATTTGAGGGGTGAAATCCTATTGAATTTTATTGAAACACCCTGTAATTTAGGCAGAATCAGTATTTTTTAACGAAAAAATTTATTAAAATACATAATACAAAAATAAAAGTCTATATGTAAACAGTACTGACTACATCCGTACACAACTAGTGATCATGGCAACACAACAGCATTATAACAGATGGCAACTTTTCCCGAGATGGTCATTTTACCTGCCATCATTCTATTAGTTTCAACATTTTTTTCGTGTAAAATAATTTTTTCATCGTTTTTTCTGCAACTTTATTTAATTTATAAAAGCCTAGCAATATCATAACTATGCTGTAAATTTTCTATTCTATTTTCGGTGTTTGTTACCACAAACACCTACAATTTTGTTTTAAAACCCGTTGAATACAGGACAGACTAAAAGATACCTGATGAGCCTAAGTTTTTTAAATAAACATTTGGAAAATAATGGGATGCTGGAAATATTAATAATTATTATAATTTTTCAAACTATGAAATCTTGTCTAAAAATACTTGATTTCGGACGTATGCGTTAAGTTTCTTCAATATTTGAAGAAATTTACCACCACATTTGAAAAAATTTGGTAAGTACCCGAGTGTAAGGGTATTCCAACGGATTGATGGACTTGGTTCATGCTGGTTGTCAAAAAATGATTAACGCTAATGAATGAAACTAAATTTTCATAACGGATTTTTTTCCCCAAAAAGATTAGGGTGTGCAGAGAGTTGAGGAGAAATTCCCGATTTGGACTGGACAGAAAACTGTTGCTCTATGAGTTTTCGGTTATGAATATTTTTATCTAAATAGGAATATGATCTATTTGTTTATTTAACGCATTAAATTAATATTTTTCATAAAATTAGTCATGGTTTGTCATAAGTTGATCATCCTCTACAACCCGATACTACTGTCAGTAATATAAGGTTTTGAGCACTTGGTGAAATTGAGTTTGTTAACAGGATAAAAAATTATCGTTGAAATCAAATTTATTCCCAATTTTAGTGAATTGGGGGGCTGATTTTGGGATAATATTCAGTAATTCTGGATTTCAGAATTATTTAGGTCTCTTCCAAATGTATAGAAAACATTTAAAGCAAAATCCCTTTAAATGCTTGTTGATAGTTAAATACTGTTACTAGCTAAGAATATTTAAATAATCCAAAACAATGATAATATCCGAGACCACCTATTAATATCAATGAACCTAAACTTATCCATACACTTATATTTAGGATTCACTCCAGTATGGCGACAAGACGACAAGTCGCCAAATGTTCTACAAATGTCGCTGAAATCATACGCAAAAGTGGTAAATTTGTCGCCTTGAAATATGTTTGGAATTCACAAAATAGTAATGGAAAAAAAGGGTTTTTTGCACCAAATTCCATGCATTTTTAAAAAAAAAATTTTACTAGTTTTATTGTTCTACGCTTGGCATGGAATTTAAATACGTGCTATTCAAATGGAATAACTGAAAGTGTCTGGTACAAAAAAAAAATTTAATGTAAATGCTGAAATTTCAAATTTACATATTGTGTCGTACTTTGCGTTTAAGTACTGACAGTATATCTTTTCACAATCAAAACCATATTTTTTCCTCCTTTAGATTAGACTTCATTTAAAATAATTTTACACTTTTTAGATAAATAATTATTAAAATAATAATTTGCTTGCAGTTACTTTTTCAGTTTTCGTCATTTATTAATTAATTTGGTCACAGCATTTTGATTTCTAAGTTGAATCTATTTACTAATTAGATTTTAGATTTTTCTCACTTAATTTTAGTAAATACTAACACGGACATATCATGATTTCATGATCTCAACGGACATCATGATAGAGTTACGAACTTAATAAGTTTCAGGATTTTGTCGATGACAACCAATATTTTTTTATGAGTAATATAACATGAATTATGTAATTTTGTTTATTTTATAACCGTCGTTAAACAGCAGGCCTAATTTTTTTGGTTTTCTACTACTAATGTTCAACTCCATAGCCTTGTAATGTTGAACCCATTCCAGAAGACAAGGGAACTCCTGGATTAAGTATTGGGAGAAATTTTGCCTTCGTGGAGGACTTTTTGATGGAATTTACCCGCATTTTCATTACAAGGAAAGGAAAACCATGAAAATCTTCCACGGTTAGCCTGACGGGAAGGAGACTCTAACCCTTGATCCGTCTACCACTGAGGATATTTTATGTCAGAACCGTGGTCGGTGAGAGCCGGGTGTGGAATTCGAATCGATCAGCTATTGCTGGGATCAAACCCGCATAGCCTCATTAAGAAGTGATCCCCCTATCCCCTGAGCCACCATGACTCTGAATTATTTAATTGTAATGTTCGATTTTTTTTTCCGAAGTTTGCCTACCATATTAAGTTTTTGGATCACTATATGAATAACTAGGTGATTCTATTGGACTGCTAACTTTTCATTGCTGGTGTGAACCCTACATCTATATCCTTATACAGAAAATGAAATTAACTTAAACCCCATCACGTATATCAAATTCAGCATTAACACAAGTTACAAACTTTTGGCCCAAAAACTTTTTCCTTCAATATGGAGTGGTAATAACTCAATCTCACTAGAAAAATAAACTTAATCTTCTGTTTGCTTCTCAGGCCACAGCATCTCATCCTGTAGAGTTCACTTTGGCAGCTATAGTGGGGCAATCTGCTAGCGTGTATGCGTGTCTATACACTTATGAATTGAAGAAAATTTTATTAATTTTTTTAAAAAATTAAAGAATTTAATTTTATTTTATTAAATCGAAGAAATTAAAGAAAACTCTTTTAAATTGCTAAGTAAAAAATATCTATCCTATTTTCGATAAGTTGGAAGTTTTAATGACCAGGGCTGAACTTGAATGCAACCGTTTATATGCAAACTTTTTCTTTACTTAAGTTTAATCTGATGGAACATCTCAAATCTAATAATCTAGAAGGGTTCGTAACTAAACAAGAAGCAAACTAATCGTTTACGTTACATAACATATTAAATGTAGATACTAAGAAACGTGTTCTAGTTGTTTTGCTAACAAATTAATAAAGGAAATCATAGTTAGGAATTTAACTGTGAAAAACATTGATTTTACTGTATGTTAGGAATGTCTCCATGTGCGAAAAAAAGATTTGTCACTTACTTTGTACTTAATATGTACTAGGCCATATAAATAAATAATAAGCTTCATTAGCAGCCTTGTAATGACAGAGAGGATTTTTATTATGTAAAGAATGGCAGTGGGCCTTTGAAATTTTTCAATACAGTACAATAATTATTTTCAAACAAAGCGATATTTGCATCAAGCTCTCTTTTTTACTTTAAATGCTTTTATTGATTTCATAATTATAAATGAGAAATAAAGATGTATAATTGATTATTAAGAACATCTTTTACTTTTAAAATTATCAATAGTTCAGTTTTCTAATACATCTGGGATTTCTTAACGCTAAATTGAAAAACATTTATAATATTTAAACATGACAAATCATATTTTATATTTTAAATATTAAATATGATCTAGGTTTTGTCTAGACATAAACAAAAGTACTGGCTAAGCGTAACAGACAGCTTCAACCATTGTTTGCACAAAGGGTAAACAATGTTGTTAAGTTAAAAGAAGCAGCATTGCTTTTGTAACAGTTCATTTGAGTACAATTACATGTAACAGCCTTATATGTAACAGTTTAGTTACTGATCTAATTCATTCTTCTGGAACTACATTTTATTCAAAGATTACATTGTGTTAAAAATGCACTAGATTCTATTTTTCAAGAGAATTAATAATAAAAATTTATTTTTGTTGACCAGTGTTTTACTTAAAATAAAACTATATGTAGACATGCACAAATTCTATATACGCTGAGGACTTCTATTGAAATTCCTCATAATACTTTAAAAAATATCTTATAGATATTCTTCTGAATTTCCGTACAACGTATGTGAACAAGGAAGGAAAAGTTGTTGCTGATCCCCATTCGATTGCCATCAACTACTTAAGAGGATGGTTCGTCGTTGATCTCCTTGCTGCCTTACCTTTTGATCTCCTTTATGCCTGCAATCTCTATAGCAGAGTGAGTGGCGTCCTTTTTTTTCTCCTTACAGCATTTGATGTTTTCAATCTTTGAGCCTTGTTTAAATATATATTTCATTTTCCTAGTATAAAAACACGAAAGGGTCAATTGAAAATGTAGAACATAAACTAATTTTATTAAATCTTAACACTAGGCAGATCTTAAAGAAACAAAACTATCTATAAAATGCGCCTTGATTTTATTAAATTGTCTAAATGTCAATTTGCATTTTCTTTCAGGCTCTTCAAATATTGATAATCCCTTGAAATTATTTTTAGGACACCCTTCTTTTTTTACATCGTCCATCTTGTTTACTTCTAGTAATATTAAGTCTAATTCGTAAATTTCTTACGTATTTATCTCAACAATTCACGATTTTCAGTTGATGTGCTTTAATATTTTGTAGATAGGATTAACATGATGTAAGACACTTTCTTAATTTTTTTTTCAAGGTATGCAACACCAAAATTTTAACACTTAATAGAATCATTTGATTAATTCTATCACAAAACTTAAAATTTTTCTGAATACATATTAAAATGCTCCAATTAAATTCAATTTAATGTAATTTAAACTTGCACACATTTTTGAATCGAATTTTTTGTATATATAATCTCAACAAAAGAAATAGTGGAGGGTTAATATGCATTATCACAAAGCATTTTTTTTTCTCATTAATAAGTAATTCTTTACATTTATATGCTTAAATTAGCTTTAAAATGTTCGCTTTATAGTACAACAGAACTTACTAGTGATAAGGGAAAATTCATGCAGAAAGGATTGATTTCGAAGACGCATTTTAATTGTTTCCTAATTGGTAACTAACAATATCAGCAACGAGAACCTCTCCAGAACAATAGGAACGTAACAAAGGCGATGATTCTCTTTTTTCCAATAACTTTCCCCAAAGACAAAACCAATAATAAGGCTGGAGCAAAAATTATTTGACCCTAGTGCTTATTAATCCGACAAACTAGAAGTAAAATCAAATTGTTTAGACTTCTTCATTAATACATAATTCGCAAAAAAAGAGGGTGAAATATGGAGGGTAAAAAATGTTGTTTAATACAATACATAAAGTTTTATTGTAAATTTAAGACTTCTTTAACAATTGGAATTAATAAATAAGACATCTGAAAGAAAAATAACTCCTGAAATCCTGAAAGAGGAAGTGAGTGAATGTAACATGTGCACAAGATCATAAATCAGTCTTTCTTATAACAGAAAAAGATTAGTGGAGGCCAATACCGAGATCTAATTTTCCAAAATAACGTTACCGATATCTATTTTTTCATTGTATCCATAGGGCATAAAATATTAATGCTTGACCAGTTCACTAATGGACCTACTCCCTCGAGAAAATATCTCAAACTGAATTCATGCAGCAACACGATCGAACTTCAAGAACCATTAAAACTTATCAATGGAAACTTTAAGTTAGAGTAACAGATAACTTGTTTCAGATACATTTATAAAAGGCAACTGTTAATTCTAACTAAACTATTGTAATATTACGTATTACAGAGTTTTTATACTGGATTTTACACGATTTATATATCATTAATTTAAAAACTTATCTTATATGGGATGAAAAATATTGACTTTAACCAAGGTCATTTAAAGTCAACGTCATTTAACCAAAGTCAGTCACTGTTACTATGACGACAGTTCATTTCTTTTGTATTGTTTATGCATTTTCAAGGGTTTATAAAATTATTTAATTTAACGCATGCTTATCTTATTTTATAGATTATTATAAGATTATTTATTTTAATTATAAGAGCGCATTATTATAGATTCATAATGCCATAGCAATAGTTTTCATTCAGTAAGTAAGTAAATAAAATAAAAAGTAGGGGAGAGTGGGGTCAATTGTAACAGGGTACGATTGTAACAGAGCAAAAATTTCGAGTGTCGGGTTCTAGATTTGGTTCCTAGGAGGCGCACAAGGTGTATTTAATAAATCTACATGCACACCCCTGCGGGCAACCATTTTTATGTACTTTATCACAAAAGATATTTTCACGCAACGTAAGTGCTTTTTTTGTGTTAGAATATTATATTGTAACAAAGTAATTTTGTTTAAACAAATAAAAATTATTAACCGAATAGTTATGTAAGTGGACACCTTAATTAACATTTCCAAAAAAAAAAATTAGTTTCATTAATTAACTAGCATTGCTTTTAACAAATGAAGCTGAAATGGCGTCTTGGGGACGATTGTAACAATAAGTAAAGGGACGATTGTAACAGCTGAAAATAAATAATCTTATGTTTACAAGCCATTACTTAACTCTTTAAGAACCACCAATAGTTTCCTATATCATTTATATTATGCTGCATGTGCATTATTTCATTTGTCACCTTTCACAGCATAAATTAAAATTTTTAACTCCTTAAAGTTAAAAGTTTAACCCTTTAGGTCTCCGCTCATTATTATTTTTACTCCTAAAATATCATTACTATTTTGATCAATAAAAAAATATATCACAACTATGATAATATGTATAATTAACTATGTTTTAGTTGAATTTATGAACAGTTACAATTGACCTCGTAAGTGGGGACAATTGTAACAAGTGCACGACTGTCAAAAATTGTTAATAACTAATATAATAACATTTAAAATAAGGTATTTATTTTTTTTTCTAGTAGAGGATAGTCTATTTTACTCGTCTGTCAATTAATACTAATAATATATTGGATTTTTTGTTAGTTAAAAATAGTTAAGTAAAAAATGTTACAATTGACCCCACTACAGAAAAAATGGAGGAGAAATAATGACTTAATCATTTAATGGGTGGATTTGTGTATAGAAAAATAGTTTGTAGACGTATTTGTGTCTAGGAGAATCTGCAAACCAACTATTTAGGGAATCAGATAATCGTTGAATCAGCTAATCAAGGAATGGAATTAGAAAAATTAATTTGTAAATAAGTTCATAAATAAAGAAAAAATGTCGATAAACCTATAATACAATTTGCTATATGGCAATCAACAAGCATTTTTCATTTTTTACTTAAAAGTTTCGACGAATGTGTTTTTTATTTACTTAAGTTTCGTAAGTTTCAATGCTTGGAAAATTTAAACTATGCTGATCTGTACAATACATACAACACAAAAATTTCAACTTTTTAGTTTGCGCAAGTAATTTGTTTTTCTTGATTTAAATATCTAGACTGGATTTTCCCAAAAAATTCAGACACAATTTTTTACTGCTCCCACTACAACAATAACAATTCTTCAAGTTGCAAAATCAAATTTTGATAGAACTTAAAAATTTATTTTAATATTTTTGATGATAATTATTTTTGAAAGGAAAAATACACAAGCACATAGTCGATATAATGATAGCAGCTGGTTACAATATTTTCGGAATGGCAAAGTTTTAGGAATACTGTTATAACACCACTAAACTTAACGCATATATTTGGCGCAAGTTAGAATCTTCTTTGAAAGAAAGAAATGAATCTATATATATACACCAAAGAGCCATTACATTATGACCACCCTCCATCTATAGCAATGGGCTCGCCCAGGTTTTCATGGTTTGTCGCCCAGGAACAATACTCTCATGGGGCACATTAGGACCCATAATCCTCATAGAACAATCCCTGACGTCTGTAAGCTACTTGAACATAGTTGCAGACCAGGTTCACCCATTCATGGCAAAAGTTTTTCCCGCGGGGGATGGAGTTTACCAACAGGATAATGTACCATGTCATAAAGGTCAAATTGTCATGGATTGATTCGAGGAACATTCCAGCGACTTTCAAGTCATGTCCTGGCCCCCAAATTCACCTTACCTTAATCCAATAGAGCATTTATGGTCCTACTTGAAAAACCAAACTCGTGCTGCCACGCTACCCCCTCGCAATGTGAGGGAATTGCAGGACCAGTTGGTATCAGATACCTCAGCCTACCTATCAGCACCTTGTGGAATCAATGCCACGGCGGGGGCTAGCAGTTTTGAGGGCTAAAGGTGGTCTCCTACATGTTATTAGCAGGGTGGTCATAATGTAATGGCTCTTCGGTGTGTGTATATATATATAGATAGATATAGCACAATAAAAACAAAGAGAAAAACGAAAATAATTAAGATTTCTTCAAACATTGAGATTTAATCGCTACCGCATTTTCCAGCTAACTAGATTTGTTGTTATAGGAGAGCATCAGACAGTGAAATTACCACTACTGTACGTATAATTGTTGTTGTTGTTGTTTTCAGAACACACTGATGCACCTCTTCAAACTCACTCGCCTCCTCCGCTTAGCAAGATTGGTTCAGAAGGTGGATCGCTATTCACAACACAGCAGTATTATTTTAACATTGCTGATGCTTTTCTTTTCTCTGGTCGCTCACTGGATGGCATGTATCTGGTATGTAATTGCACTCGCTGAGATTGACGCAAATCCCTCAACTTGGGATGTGGGTAAGTATCACTATTCACACTTTCTTCTAACAGCACTAACTCTCGGAGAAAAATTTATAATTCTAGTATAATTAGTGTGGCGGAGAGATTTTGCACTCTTAATCCATTTCACACTCTTAGTTATGCATCAATAGTGCGCAAGTTCCATCCGATAAATAATTAGGGCAAGCTTGTGTCGTGATGAGTTTGTAAGGTGAAAGATTGCTAATTTTTCTGGGGAATACGGCAGGGCTAAAGAGAATAGAAAGGCTGGTTCACTCCTTCGATGAAACTCTCGCCGCGCCAATCCTCCGATTTTCTCTAGTGACGTCACTTTGGCGCAAAGCTCGCACTTTTACTTCAAGAACAGAGCTTTCGGCCTTACTAGCTCTAACTAATATTGGAGCATTTCTTTTTGTGACATATTCTAAGACATTTGTAATTTTCTACAATGACTTTCCTCAGTTTTTGCCGTGAATTTACAAAATTTTAAAACTATTAACGAAATGCCAGTTTGCGTGATTGCAACTTGCAAAAATTCTTATAGAAAAACAAAAGGAAAAAATATAGTTTTCCGCGTGTTCCCTAAAGTAAATGAACAACTAGTATGTAAAGAATGGATTCTGAAATGACACAGTTTATCTAAAACAGCAATACGTTTTTTCTATCGTTAAGAACTTTTATAAAAATTCGTTATCTAAATAGAAACCGCCTCGTTACTTCAAAAAGAAAGGCATGTGAAAAAAATTAAAAAATGGATAAAGTCAAAGAAAATTAAAACATAAGTAAAAAGTATATAAATAAAATATATAGTGTACAGTTGAAATTCTCATAATTTCATAACTTATTTTTTTAATGCAGTTATTCTAAATATTTATGATTCTTTTAAAAATTATATTCTCTTGAATTTAAATATCTATAAATTATATCATCTTAAATTTAAATATCTATAAACAGTTGTAAAATTTCTAATGTCATTATGAACCTAAATTATTATTTTGTTTCAGTAATTAGCGCTTAAGGTTGATGTTTCCTAATGATTAAGTGTGAACAAATTGCTATTAACGACATATTTTAAAATCGGGGATTCTAAATTTAACTCAACTTATTGCTATAAAAGAATATGTAGATAAAAAAGTGTCGATATATGCTTTCATTTTTCTTAATAATTAAAGTTAAAACTGAACTTTTTAAAATAAAGTATTTATAGTGTCCTTTTCGCCAACTAGTAAAATATTTTTATAAGTTTAAAATGGAATTTTTTTAGTATAATAGACAAGAAAGTTTTTTTAAACTATGTTTATGAATGGAAATAATGTGTTAATTACGTAAAGTTTGAAAGCTAATAACCTGAAAAGGTCTAACTTATTTTTGCAAAGAGAATGATGCAAAGTTATCATAATATCTTTGCGTGCGATCTTCCGAGATCTGTGGACACAGTAACGTCATGAGGAGGGAAATCGTAGCTTCAGCTCTAAGAGCGGAGTGAACTAGCCCTTCTATTCTCTTTAGCCCTGGGAATACGGTGCCTAATCAAAAAATAACATACATCAATTCAAACCACAAATCAGTTTTATCAAAAATGAAAAATCCTTTTTCATTATTTAAAACTAAAAATATTTTTTGAAAATTAGTCATAATAACAGCAAAAAATATATGTAGTTCAATGTTATATTAAAGTTTATTCAAGTATTTTTATACTATAAGTTTAAAATTATATATTTTTTTCCGATAAAGTTTATTTATTTCAAGAAGAGAACTACGCAAATATGTGTGTTCTAATGCGTTACAAAAAAAATTGTATTCGAGTATTCAAATCAAGTCTTACATGTTTTTCAAAGCTTACCATAATAATTTCATTAACTTTAAGATATAAATTTTTAATTAAATTCATTTTAAGCATTCTGATGGATTTTAACATAATTTAAACCCCAAAAAAAGCTTTTTTATTAACTTAATACAATTTAGCGGAATTTACTCTAGTTTATTCCATCATTGCCTTGTCTATGTTATTCAAATTAGTTTTCTTTATGATTAAAATAATAAACAATTTTACACTTGTTAATTAGCTTGAGAAAGGCAAAGATAATGACCAACATTTTAATCCACTTACTCCAGACTCAGACTCGTATTCTTAACCCTTTCGAACCCTAGGAACATGTATGTCCCAAGTAGACTGTTGGACTAAATAGATCCCATTTTAACATTAGATTTACCCATTACAGTCTTTTGAATTTCCATCCTTCTATTTGAATGGCTAGCAGTACTTGTAAAACTGTCATGACAGCTTAGATTTTAAGAAATAACATGTTTGTGAAGATTTATGCATCATTTCGTGAGAAAAATAGCTGAAAAGGAGCTAAGAAAAAGTGACTTTGATAATATAAGTACTATTTATATTATTTTACGTCATTTTAAATAATAATATGCTTGATTTCGAAAGTTTATAAAAAAACACAAAACAGCCTTATCTTTAGGGCTTGGTATGTATATGTACCAGTAGTCTTTTTCATGGATAATTAGTCAATCAAAAAGAACTAATGGGGCATCAATGTCTCAGGATCCTAACTGCAAGAAGTGAATCAAAACTTATTTGTAATATTATCAATGGTAAAAAGAAAAACAATATGTTGCCAAAGAAAAAACAATATAAATTAAGATGTTGAAAGAATGACCAGAAGAATTATACATTCTTTAAGAAATAACTATTTCAAAAAAAAATATTTTAATGATTAACTATAAATGAAAACGCTGAGAAAATCAAAATTTGTGCTTCGTTCAAAACTTAACAAATGTTTAAAAATATTCTTATTTCTTAAATTTAAAAAAAAGTATATTATTAAAAATAGAAATCGCAACTAAAAAAATCCATTTGAATTAAACATTTAATGCATGAAAAAAAATTATTACTTTAACTAAAATTTATATACTTTTAATTATTCTGTCGAATTGTTTAAACTTCCAGCTCTCTCTTAAGACGGTAGTTGCTTTTCGAATAAATTTGTTGACTTTTATTTCTTTTTTAAAGAAAACTTATAAAAATGAATTAGTTTATATGAAACACGATAACCATTTTTTAAAATAAATATCTCTTGTCTTTCAATATTCTTTATGTCTACAAATATTTAGATATTGGAAAATATTTATTTAAGAGAGCTAGCAGTGTATTAAATTTATTTGTTCAAGATAATAAAACGTAACTGTCTTTTTTTTACCCGAATATGCTTGATTTCCTTTGTTTGACATTTTTATTCTCAATGTTTTTAGCACCACTTTTAATGAATCCCTACAAAAGATTTAATTTTTCAGGTCATAAGACTTAGATTTGTCATGATTGCTACTAAAATTAGTGATTTTTGTTAGAAAAAAAATTTTTATAATTTTTTTCCATTTTAATTAATATATTAAGCAAGTAAATTTCTTTAAAAATTGCTTACGAGAAAATTGTTTACTGTTCTTTAATCCTGCATGTTAAAACTACCGATTTTCATGTCAAAATATTAGCACGAGTTTCCTGTTTCATTTTATATTCTACATATCAATTTAATTTTTATTGCTACTTTCTTAACTGCAATTCTGTAGTTAAGAACAGCTTTTAATTCAATGTTTACTTTTTATTGCCTCCTTCAGCAACTTTGCCTAATTTGATTTTGAACTGTGTTGCAATTATTTTGGAAAGTATTATACGGGATAAATATTCAAAAAGTCAATCCTGATAAACTCACATGTCTCTCAACATAAAATCAAATATTTAGAAATAATTTACCTTACTTATAAAAAATTTTGAAGATTTTATGCAAATACTTCGTATTTTTTTAATCTAAATTATACCAGAAATTTGAGAAACTGTAAACAAATGCATTCATGTAATATACTCTATAGTGTTACTTTACTTAACAACTGATTAATCGAAAATTACCGTTGACATAATTTTCAATTTAAAATAAGAATATATTTTATTTGATAACCGGTGTTAAACAGCCGACCCAATGCGGATTTTACGACTATCAATCTTCAACTCTGTAGCCTTGCAGTTTTGAAGCCAATACAGAAGACAAGGAAACTCCCGGATCAAACATTGGGACAAACTAGCCTTCGTGGAGAGCTTTTTGATGGAACTAACCTGCATTTGTGTTAAATGGAGAGGAAAACTGTGAAAACCTCTTACGTTTAAGTTCTTAAGAGTAGCATCATGTTAGAAACAAGATTCAATATGTGATGAAACATTTTGGCATCACACCAAGGGATCATAGAACAATTCTTTAACACGTTTTCTGCCAAAAGGAGAATGCTTTCCTATCTCATTTGTTTAAGTTTACTCATTTGCTTTTCTCGAGCTCAATTTTAATTGGTCAGAACATAAAAAAGTTATCCTGTTTTATTTTTCCTCACTTTGTTAACGTGCAAAATTATAGCAGCTATAATACTTTGACATTGTTTTTTTTTACAAGGTTTATAAGAAAATATATTAAAGGCAGTCGTTTTGGGACATTCTGTATGCATAAATTAATAATTTAATCATTGTTAATTAATGGATCAATCCTGATTGAATCTTTATGTATTTTTTAGGTTGGTTGAATCAATTGTCAATAAAACTGGGCTTCGCAAGTGTAAACGAAACAGATATCACAACCGCTTATATAACAGCTTTGTATTTTACGACTACCAGCTTAACTAGTGTTGGATTCGGTAACGTAGCAGCTAATACCAATGCAGAGAAAGTTTTCTCCATTTTAACTATGTTGATAGGGGGTAAGTAAGCACGTTTTCTAACAAAAATATGTAAAAAAGTTTATGCAACATAAATTGATTTTTAGGAGCGAAAAAGAGAAATGAATTTCTTAATTAAAATGTAAATATTTCAAAGTCGGTCATTGAAGAGAAAAACTACAGAGACTATTAGAAAATAAAAATTAAGGAACTTAAGTGAATAAGTCCTTGATAACTTAAGATAATTTTAGCCCTTCTCCTCCTTGTGGTTCAGTCACCTGTAATTCCAGAAAAAATTTGCCAGCACTACCACACTTGTTATAAGTTAGTGTAAGAACGTAAGCACGTCAAATTATAACGAAGAATATAGAAGAATAACAAAGAAATTTTGGTAATAAGTTGATGTATCAAAAGTTATTCATGTTCTTCCCCTTTTTTCGCGCAATCTATGTTCACGTGTTTGAACACGTTTTTTTTTTCTTTCTATAATCACATTAGAAGGACAATCAAGTGCAATAATACTATCTTGACTTGTTTCATTTTGTTTTTTAGCACTGATGCACGCTGTGGTGTTCGGAAACGTAACGGCAATCATCCAGAGGATGTACGCACGTCGATCCCAATATCACACGAAGCTTCGAGATCTGAAGGATTTTTTCAGACTTCATCAGATCCCGAAAGAGCTCAAACAGAGAATGACAGATTACTTTCAAACTATATGGTCCCTGAACCACGGCATAGACCCCAACGAGGTAAGGATCATTAATCGAAGCAAAACAAGATATGCATATGCGTTCTTCTTCTTTTCCATGTCACATTTACATAATTATTTTTGCTATTCTTCTCTCGGTAACTCGCGACAGATTGTAGACTTAACGTGGATCAAGTTTTTTTCCTTTACTCATAGTTTTCAACCACATACTCTTAATGAAAGTTGTTTGTTTGGATAAGTTACATTCGCCTTTAAAAATTATATCAAACTTTTATAAAACACCTTGTATGATAAAGTTTTTGTTTCTACATATGAGTTTTCTAATTGCTAAACTTATGAAAACTGCATTTTGAAGAGTGGAAATAAGGGAAGTTAATTGTAAAATTGTATCTAGTTTTTTTCTTCTTAGCACCAGTATAAAATATTTTTGTTTCAATATCAGTTTTTTAAAAGAAAATCCCAGTTAACATGCTTTGCTAGCAATGGTTTTCTTGCCTAGTTTAGGCTGTAGTTTCCTAGTTTATCTTATCTAGTTAGTTGATTTCCTAGTTAACTGCTTTATTAACTTTTTTGGTTATCACATTTTTCTCCTATTTCCCAAGTTTTGCCTGAAAAAAACAGCAGTTAAGAAGGTTTTGCAACTAGACTTCTCGTTGTATATAAGCTGCAATAAATTGTTCTTAAGACTTCTTTTAAAACCATAACTCCCTGATTACTTTATTTCAGATTTTGCGTGAGTTCCCAGACGAACTTAGAGGTGACGCATCTATGCATTTGCACAAGGAGATACTTTCACTACCTGTCTTTGATCATGCTCCTCAGGGTTGCTTAAAGTTGCTCTCCCGTCACGTGAGAAGCAACTTTTGTGCTCCGGGAGAGTATCTAGTGCATATGGGAGATGCCCTCACCAATATCCATTTCGTCTGCAATGGGTCCATGGAGGTGTTGCAGAACAACATGGTCGTAGCCATTTTAGGTAAGCTTGATTTCCTTTCATTACATACCTTAATAGCATGGACAAACCATCCAACAAGACCACTTTACAAAGGGAGAAAAATAACAGTAAGAAGGATAAGAAAAAATTATGGTTCGACTGAGAGGAACAAAAACAAAAAGCAAGAAAAAATTCGACTATCCACATTTTAACACAAATACACTAAAACCAATGGAATACCTCCCTAACTCCTCACAAGAAGTAATCTGAAAATTCTGACTAAAATATGCTGAAGAAATTTTGAAGTTGCGTTTTAAAACTTCTAATTGCCTGCAGATTTTTTTCAATACCTACAGATTTTATTTGTAGAGAAAATTTAAAGAAAATTTCCAGAATGAATATTTAAAAAGTTACCGTTAATTATAGGCTTAAATGGGAAGCAATCATACTTTCAAATTTTCTACAGAAATAATTTTGCTGAGAGAGGTTCACAAATTAGCCTATATTACGTACAAAAAAGCAATATCATAACAAGCAGTTCTCGAGACCAACGGAGAGTAGAAATGAGGTTGGAATAACACCAACATTTTAATTCTTTTAAAATGACAAGAAAATGTCAACAAAATGTCTGTTTACATTTTAAGTTCCTTAAAATGTCAGAAGAAAATCACGTTTACTGAGAAACAAATTACGGTAATTTTTAGTAGATTTGACTAGGTTTCAGAAACAAAAATCGAAAGCCAACACTCAAAACTATAGCATTTACAGGTTAAATCGTTCTTCATTTCTGAAATGTTAAAAAATTCGCAGCATAATAAATAAAAAATGCGATCAACTTTCTTTAGTAGTTAACTTACCGCATATAGTGAGCATCATTTCATATCGACTTTTCAGAATTAAAACCGAAACTCGGTTTAGAATTTGACTTTCATAAAAATTAAGCTTTGAAACTCCAGAGTCAGTGTAACATGCAATAATCTTAATGTCAACTCAAAAATTAAAGTAAATGTAATTAAAATAAAAAGTACTTTTGATAATTTGCTTGATTTACTTAGTAAAAAGAAATTCGTTTAGATCGACCAATTTTATTGAAATAGGCAGATCTTCATAAGTATTAAAATTAAACTCTGATTAAATATCCAATCAGTGTAATTTCTTGTTGTTTTGTTCCTTCACCTTTTCTCCAGAATTTATTTAATAAAATTCGAAAACTCTTTTTGACTCATAAATGAGTTTGCATAAAAAAGATAGAATGCACTGCAATAAATATAGTATAGTGCCACAAATGAATAAAGCTAAAAAATGTAAAATAAAACTCAAGTAAAGGCACAAAACATATATACTATGCTTTCAGTCATAAAAACAACTCAATAACAACCTTTCTTAAGGTGGAAATACAGAATGACAGAAGAAAACAGAGGACAAACAAATTGTAACAAAGAAAATGGTTTAACCAATAAGAAAAGAGGCACAAGCTTGAACAAGATAATCAAATAAAGAGAAGAAGATAAGAAAAAGGTGTCAGAAAGTTGGTTGATAACCTCAGGGTGCAAGGTGTAGAAATGAAATTAGAATAGATTTCCTCATCTGTTTATTATCTCCTCTCTTTTGTTATCTTGTTCAAGCTTGTTTCCCTATGAAGGGGTACAAGTTTGAACTAGCTACAGTTATTAGCTACAGGTTAAACCAATTTGCACCTGTTTGTTATCTTATTATTCTACTGTCATTTTGTGTTTAGACACTAAAAAAGGTTCTTGTTTATGAAACCAAAACTGAAGTAAGCAAATTTTTATACGCTTATTTCAGTACAGAGGTGGAAAACCACTCTACTGAATGTTATACAAAAGCTAGTGAAAAAGTTACTTGAACTATTAATTGCGATTTAAATCATGTAGTACTTCCCAATTAATATCCTTTCGAAAATGCGATGCTTTTCTTGTGTGAAAAAATACTACCTTACTAATTTTTTTTTTTAATTTGTTTGAAAGTCTCTCTTGTAACAACCATGTGACGTTAACTTAAAATATTAGAAATTCTCAAATGGATACATTTTTATTTGCAAATTTAACACGAAAGGAAACTTGATGTAAAGATTACTCTATAACAACAGCCATTGATATTTAATTATCATTAATAAAATCTGCATGTTATGCTCATAAGAGATTAAAACTAATATTAAAGGGAGAAAAAATAAACAAATACTTTATCAAAATCTGTTCAACCATTATCAAAATCGATCAAGGAATGGAAAAATCGTCAAAAACCATTTTTTTGATGCCACCAAGTTGCTGTTCGCAAAAGATGTTTTACGGAACCTTAGGTTTCCAGGGAAAGGTCAGGAGTTCTGATTTTTTTTTTTTTTATGATTTTCGCCAGTTATGATTTTTGAAACCTATAATTACATCTATTTCTAAAACAATAAGCCATAATTTATGTAATTTTACTATTATTCTTTGAAAATTACTTAAATAAAACAAAAGCCTTCGTAAGAAATATCAGAACATTCTTAAAAAAAGTTACAGTAATGTACTTAGCAAATAATGGAAAGAATATGCATCTGCAAGAAAACTGCAATATTTCTCATCGAACTTTTCAATTTAAACTAAATTAAATTTAGAAAAAAGGAATAATGTTTTTCCAATAATCACTCTCAACGAATTTAACAGTTTTTTTTTCTTTTCGAAAACCATTTCAGCTTATTTTATTCATTTTTCAATTATTTTACTCCAAAAGCAATTTTACAGCCATAAGCTGATTCAGAACTGGAAACTTAACTGCCGGACATAAAACCCAATTTTTAGACAATGAACGATAGTTAAAGCAAAGAAAAAGCCTAATTCTTGGCGTTAAATATTTTCAAAATAATTAGAAGTCCTTTATCTAATTAGCCTATTTACATCTGTTAAAGAACTTTAGTCGGGGTTCCACCGTGAAGTCGGGGTTCCGCCTCAAAGTCGGGGTTCCGCCGAAAGAATCTCGATCATTTTGCTTTAATACGCTTTATTTTTCCTGCACGTTTAGATTGTCCTGTAGCCCTAACCGTATAAAAATGATAGATGAAATAGAATATGTAAGAGAGAGAAAGAAAAAAAAGCATCCAAAATGATTGTTGATCAATAATTTTTAAATTTCCATTTTAGGCAAAGGTGATCTTGTTGGCTGTGACATAAGTGTTACCGGTCCAGAGCATGTGCTGAAGTCTTCAAGTGATGTAAAAGCCCTGACATACTGTGATCTCAAAAGCATCCACATTCCAGGATTGATGGAAGTGCTCAAACTCTATCCCGAGTTCTCGGAAACTTTCTGTAACGACATCCTTCACGATCTCACCTTTAATCTTCGAGAAGGATACGAAACAGAGGTACGCTCATGAATGAGGGACCTATTGTGATAAAAAAATATTATTTTCCTGAAATTGGTAAAAGCGTGACAACCAAGCAGCGAAATAAGTTCAATCAGTCGTTCACATCCTTTTTATCACCTCTGAACTCATCGAAAAACTATTCCCAACATAATTTTAATAATTTGAAAGGTAAAGCATTACGAATCAATACATTACATTCCGATGCAAATGTTTGGGCGCCGCTGTTTGATTAGACACTAGACTTTTTTGGCCTTGATATCTTAACGTCACCATTTGATTAAATATTAAATCTAATTCCCCCTCCTCAATCAAAAAAGATGGTAGAGTTTTAAGTCCCAGTCAAATTCATTGAACATAACTCTTATTTTTAAAAGCATTTTCTAATACTGACGAAATATACCATTAAATAAAATGTATTGTGTCTGTTTTGTTAAAGGGAAAAGTCTTGTCTCTGTCTGTGACTTTTACTATGAAAATAATACCAGCAGTTGACATCACTCAATTAAATATCCTTAGTACGAACTAAAAAAAACTTATCCAACCAACTCTTGACATTTGACACACCTTTCTAAACTTTCTACATTTTTTTATATTCTTATAATCTTTTTCAACTTCGTCCAGTTTTAATTGGTATTAGACATTTTTATCCTATTTTTTTTTAATTAAGATGTAATGTCAATGATTCATAAGTACAGCAGACGTCATAAGTACAGCAGATGTTTAAGTCTGTTACAAATTTTTAAGCTTTCATGTTTTCTTTTTATGCTTTGCGTATTAAATTTACTACCTATTTCAAGCATTTATCCACCTAATACTGTTTTAGAGTTATTTTCATTTCAAAACTAAGAAAATATTTCTGAAACACTGTGAGATAATCTGAGAAATAAAAAGTACATTCAAATGACTTTAAATATTTCTCGCTGAGATTCGCGTTTTGTGAGTTTGTAACACTTTTAATTGGTAATAACAAGTGTAGTTTCATAAACAATAAAAAAAAAAGATACGCAAATGACTAAACATGTCCAAGCCTCATAATTTCGCAACAATATCATCAAGATATTATGGAACTTGTTAACATTTCTGTGCTTACTCTATCCTTATCCAGTTATGAACTTCAGTTCGGTATAATAGCATCGAATTTTAAAATTTATGAACTAGTCTTGAAAAATGAAATAAGCCTCTGCAGAAACTGTAATTTTTAAGTTTGTAAATTGTTTCATAAAGACAAATTTGATTGCTATATTTAATGTACCCCAAAGTATTTTGAGAGTATCAATTTTTTAATCATTTTACTCCGATTAATGAAACAACTGCTTAGAATTAATTTTCTGTTGTTTTTCAGGATTCCAATGGCATGGCATCAATGACATTGCCTTCAATATCTGAGGATGATGAAAATAATGACAGTGATGGAACTGCTCCAGCTTCACCAATGTCACCGTGCTTGACAATCAACAGGAACAAATACGGCACAGGGTAACACACTCCATTCAATATCGGTTTGTTAAGTTCACGACGTGAAGAAAAATATATGACTGCATGATTCTCATTTATTTCGATTTTATGCTTTCTCATCCATGGAGCATCGGGTTAATGATAACTTTATCAAAACTTTGCGATAATATGATGATAAATTCTAATAGATTTGGAAAGGATTGAAACTTGCATTGTCGTCAAGCGCAAAGGGTCTCTTATAATATTAGCACTCTAGTCAATAAGAAAATGATCAGAAATTTGACAGACAATAAGTTTCCTTTGACAATATGATAAATTCTGCTTGTAGTGTCAGGGCAAATAGTATTATAATCCAGTATAAAGCTTCAATTAAAACATGAGTGCTCTAGCCAATCTTAAAGTGGTCGGAAAATTTTGATTGATGAAAAATTCTCTTTCACAGTAATATCATGATAAGTTATACTAGCCGCAGGCAGAAAATAATCGAATATTGTATTGTCAGTTTTAGTGCTCTAGCTAGTCGGGAAGTAATCTTTAATTTTGACTGCAATATTCCATCCACATAAATATTCATCTATCAAGGTTCCATCGCAAAGATGTCATTATTCCATTGAGTTAGCAAAAACTTTCATAAAGTAAAAAGGTTATTTATACTAAGACAAAAATAGTAATTGAAGTGATAAAAATTATGGTAATAAAAATAATGAGAAAAAACTTTTAACAATCTAGTTTTTTGTAATGTTATCATTAATTAACTCTTTTAATTGAAATGTTATTTATTTTAATTTTATTTTTAACATACCTTCAACTCAAACATCACATGATACTAAAAAAAATTTAAATACCAATAAAAATCACTATGCAAGCCTAAAAGTTCCTAACACGGAAAAAAGAAAATGAAACTGGAGAGAAGCATCGCCAAGTGTGGTAACCATTCTCCTATCTTTCTCTTTCGCAACCCCACTGTTTCGGACAATTTTGAAGTCATTGTCGTAACTCTCTATCTAAAAGTGAGATATCAGGAACTGTACTTCTAGGTACGGTAACTAATCTTTACTAAGTATAAAATTTTTAAAAATGTTGTTAGAAGTTTCTCTTTATTCTATGAAACTGCTAATTGTTCTTTCGTTAACGCTGTTTTTCGAAGCTCTGTTGTCAAAGAAAATAAAAAAAAGTCATAGTTTAAGTGCCATGCACTTGAAGCAAGGCGGTGATTTTATACTACATATACACCGAAGAGCCATTACATTATGTCCATCCTACATCTATAACAATGGGCTCATGGTTTCTCGCCCAGGAACAATGTTTTCATGGGGCACTTTAGGACCCATAATCCTCATAGAACAATCCCTGGCGTCTGTAAGCTATATGAACATAGTTACAGACCAGGTTCACCCATTCATGGCAACAGTTTTTCCCGCGGGGGATGGTGTTTACCAACAGGATAATGCACCATGTCATAAGGGTCGAATCGTCATGCATTGGTTCGAGGAACATTCCAGTGACTTTCAAGTCATGTCTTAGCCCCCAAATTCACCTGACCTTAATCCAATAGAGCATTTGTGGTCATACTTGGAAAACTAAATTCGTGCTGCCACGCTACCCCCTCGCAATGTGAGGAAATTGCTGAACCAGTTGGTGAGCGCTTGGTACCAGATACCTCAGACTACCTATCAGTACCTTGTGGAATCAATGCCACGGCGGATGCTAGCAGTTTTGAGGGCTAAAGGTGGTCCTGCATGTTATTAGCAGGGTGGTCATAATGTAATGGCTCTTCTGTGTATAATCTTGCCGTGGAGAATTATCTGGACTTTATAACAGACAAATAACTTAAATATTTTAAAATTTATTAAACTTTTTTAAAAATCGCCACTTTGACTGCAGTTTTCACCCTACATGAGAATTATCAAAACCACTGCCTTATTTTTAATCCTTTGCAAACTTTTATGACCCCAGGTAATGCAGCATTGGAGTAAGTTTTTAAATATTAAAAAATTAGACCACAAGCATTATCATTTTCACAAAACTGCGGCTTTTCTCCATATTGACGTTTTGCACCATTTTCGAAATAAGCGTAAACAGAGCTGGCTTTAGATAGAACTTGACCTAACAGTCGTGAGTAGCAGTTGCAAAATCACAATTGTTAATTTCAATTGATTGTTAATTTCAGCGATGAAAACTGGGAAAGCAAAGTTCATCAGTTTAGAAGAACTTTTCAAGGTCACCGTCCCACTGTCAGATTTGAAAAATTGAGACCAGCTGCTACGCACCCCAACTTACGTAAGTCCTGAGGAACCTTTATTATTTTACTATCTTAATTTTGCATTGGCTATCTTTAGTTATAAGTAGATTGTTACGAATTTTATTTTAATTTTCTGAAATTAATTACTTTATTTCCTTAAAAATATACTTCCCAAGTTTCCTTTAATCTAATTAATATCATAAAAATCTTGATTAAACCAAAGAAAATTATTAAATAAATTGAATTTGAATTTTGAATTTTGAAATTGAATTTTACATTCAAGAACATACTTTCTAAACTGATATGATTCTTGAATATTTAAAAAAAATGTAATGAAATGAAAAATTTCCACTTATTTATTTTTTTTAACTGAATAAGCTTAATAATATTTAAGGAAAAATAACTTTTATGAAAAATATTTTTTATTAAAAAAAATTACCTTAAAACAGATTAATAACAGAGATATTAATTTATTCCTTGGGTTTTGTAAATCACAGTCAAAAAAAATTAATCATTAGGCTTCTGAAATCGTTTTAATTCAAAATATGAGAACTAAGATTATAATCGATACACAGTTTTATAAAAATTATAAATCTTTTATTTATGTATAATGCTTAAAAAGCTTATCTTACAATGTTTATTTAAAATTCGTACTAAATTCCCAAAAAAAATTTTCAATTTTTTTCAACGTATTTTGAATTTTTAAAATACATATTATATTTATATAACTCAGCATTTTTAACCAACTATTATTGTCACACTAACAACAAAAAATATATTATGTTAAATAACAAAAACTACTGTGAGAAAATAATCAAAAATGCCATACATTTGTAACTGTTTCCATTTGGTTATAAAAATGACAATATTTCAGTTCAACTTTATTGATCAAAATTAAAATTTTGTTTAAACTATTTATTTTTTAACTTAAAAATCATTCGGTTAATACACTTATATCTCGAAAAGGCATCAATAGATTAGCAAGAAATTTTAATACAATTTTTACAAATAAATTGTAAGTTTCAATTAAACATTTGCAAGTTATAAGTATTAAAAAAAAGTTTTGTTGAAAAAAATTAACTTCAACTAAAAAAATCACTCATATCTTCTCAAATATAAATCAGAATTTTTCATAAATGCGTCTGCATATAGAACATAACAAGTAAAGATCTTCGTAAAAGTTACAGAATCGGTATAACTATCAGCAATACAGAATGATCAAAAATATTATTTTCTGGTTTTCATTTGTAATTTAGATTATGGTTTTATATTGTCCAAATGCTCGGTGTGGTGTAGATTTTTTGGCTCTTGCGCGAGAAAACAAATAACTAACTAACATTTCTCATGACCTCGTTTTATTAAATATAGAATTTGAAATAAATTTATTTTTCACTTTTTTGAAGAATTTATATTTTTACAAATTGGTGCACACATGTACAAGGAAATTCAAAACAACGTGGCTAAAATGAAATTGCAATTACATTTTTGAATTAATACAAAAAGAATTAAATAATAGAAAAAGGAACATAGTGTTACAAATGTTATCCGTAGTTTCCAGAGTGGGTTGGAAATTATACGTTACGTGGTACAATAAATGAAAATCCCTCTACATCAGGAATAAATCACAAATAATGGCACAAAAATACTTATACTATAGAATTGTAATATGTATATAATTTGTTTCGTTTCCTCAGAGTCAAATACAAAATAAATATCATATTTTTGGTCTTATAAACAAGAGCCTTTTTCGGTGTCGAATATTTTGTGTTTCAATACTGAGAAAGGCTCTTGCTTATTAATTCAAAACTATATCCTGACAATTTTTATACTATTTTTTTATTAACACTGGTTATCATAAGTTATCATTATTCATAATGTAAAATGATTTTTATTTATTGTCCTTTTGTGTAACATATAGTTTGCTAACCTTTCTAGAGACTCTGGATATTGTTTGTAACAACATCTTCCCATTTGATTTTTAGTTATTTTTGTTACCTGCTTTGTAATTTAATTTTGGCCACTTTATTTTTAAGCACTCTACTTACAATGTAGTCAATACACTATGCCTACTTTAAAATATTGAGTTTGCAACTGAAGTTCTCACCATTTATTTAAATTTTTTACAAATTTAAAGTACAGCATTCCATTTTCCCTGCCAGTTCTCTTGTTGTTTGACACGAATTTTGGACCAAAAACTGACTTAATTCGAACACAACTGAATGGTCAAAACTAGGTGCTTCTTTGAGGTCAAAATTTCTATTTTAAAACTTGACATACAAATCACGAGTGGTCCTTTCAGCTATGGTAATCCCTCTATATCAGGAGCAGCTTTTGCTGCTTTAGAACCTTGATTAAAAGCAAAACAGTGTCAAAAATGGTCCTTTTTCTCAACTTGATCTTTTCATTCTAATGATATGAGAATTAACATGAATTAACTAGAGCAAAAAACAAAACACAGATTCAAATAGGAAAAAACATCTTCTTTCAACTGATCTAAAGCATTTAATGACAAGCAAACTGTTTAAATTTGAAAAACCGTTGTCAACCAGATACAATACATAACAAAAAAAAATTATTATTTTTAATTTTTTTATCATTTTTTTTCAGAAATACAATTCTAAATATGTATTATCTAAAAAAAATTAGTTTATTTTAGTATTTTTATAACCTAAAACTACTTTATTTCTAAAATTTAAACTTATTCTAAAACTAACATATATCTGAACATAATTTTCTAACTAATTGTTATAAAGTAAAAATTTTAAGTAAATGTTTATAATTTGTTTACTTAAAAACCAACTTTTAAATTGGTTCAAGTTAAAAACAGGAACTGCTGTAGTATTTGTTAATAAATTTTGACTAATTTCTTTTGAAAGAAAAAACTCGTATTCTGAGTTTTTGTCATTTTTGTAGGTTTTTCGCTTGATTCATTTTCTCTTTTTCATAACAACTAGTCACTTTTAGTGTTATTTATAATATTATTTGTTTTTATATATTATTTCATGTTCTTTTCAATAATTTTACAGAGATTTCATTTGTATTTTACTACTAAAAACATTTAATTCTTTGCTTGATTATTTTGCATTTTAATTTTACAACTAGAGTACTTGTAGATTATTTATAACTTATTTAGAGTGTTAGCTATGCCTGCATTGTTAGAAATTTTAGAGCAGCTTACATGTTTATTAAAAATAACAACAATAAAGTAACATATTTTTAATTTAAAAGAAAAACAATAAATTTTAGATTTAAATATTCAAACAACTTATAAAGACTTGATTACGTTAAAAATCATACACCATTAACACGTTTTAAACAAAAGCATAAACTTAAGCTATAAAATATTTTTTAACTACAAATGAGTATATTCATAATTAGAACAGCTTTTGTCAAATAAAGACAGGATAGTAAAATGTAAAGCTTAAAAAAAACACTTAGCCAAAAAAAACACTGTTTTAATACTATATTATATTATACAACTATTTTTAAACTATTCTTTGAAGAAAATTGTCAATTAATTTTATTGGGTTTATTTTTTTAAAGCCCCGATAGCAAAACAGCACAAAAATTTTAAATATTCAATAGGTACTAAAGCATTTAAAAAAAGTTTCAATTATTGCTTCTCGGTAATAGTTTTCTTTAATATAACAGAAGCAAACAGAAACATTTCATTGTCAATCAAAACTAAATTATTTTCAACATTTCTGAGACTACGTGGTACTTTTACGAGATTTTTAATCGTTTACAAAAATGTTGCGACGTTTTATGTTGTGTAGGTATCGGATGACTATAATTCTATCAATGCTTTTGCTAGTTAGTTTTGTTTTAATTTGAGCAAAAGGTTGCAGCTTTAAGAAAATAAAAGGAAGAAAAAGTAAAACTTTAAAAAATATGTAAGACTATTTTATAAGCTACTCTTATACCGTAATTATTCTCAGACTGCAAAGTTGGATATAAAAATAAGATAATATGCTTGTTAATAAATATTGATCAAACTTAATCATTTCACGAAATTTCGAAATGTTTTTGCATTAAAATAAAGTCATGTAAGAGTATTTCTTTATTAAAAACAAACAAAATTTAATAGAAAATTTTCAAGTGCGCCTTTAATCTATGCTTGTATAAATGTTTCGTGCCTGCATGATATTAATTACTCTTAATTTATTTAGGTGAATAGAATAAGATTATGTTTATTTGCGTAGAATAGATTTAGTTGATAGTATAATGAACATCCATACAAAAATATTCCATATAATAGCTTTTACATAATTTTGTCTCATAAATAAATATTTTGTAATATTTTGCATACTGCAAAATATATTAATTTTAAATTATTTAACTTGCCTTTTTAAACATATTTTTAAACACGAACAAAAATTGAACAGTAATCTTACAATGACAATTATACACACTAATAAAATTGTTTTGCTTTTTAACTAATAATATTATGATATTGTAATTCAAATGCGGCATCACTTAAAACCTTTTTATTTTTAAAATTCAAAAGTATTATGGAAATATTTTATGTCATAAATAAATTCTGTTCAAAATTTCAAAAATAAATTCTGTTAAAGTAATCTAAAGGTGATTTTTCTAATGGTCTTAAAATAAGACCACTATCATTTAACTTTAAATTCTGGTGGTATTAAGATAAGACCACTATCGTTTAACTCTAAATTCTAACAACACACATTCTGAAACCTTTAAAAGCATCTCTCATGGGCAAGTATCAATACCCATGTAATTTATTTCTGCATCCCTTCCTTTCTCTAATGCATGTTCAATTAGTATAATTTAAGATCTTCTATGGAATGGTTTTATCATTAGAAATTTTCATTATTATCTATCACTTAATTATAAATAAGTGTTAACAATGAATGGCAGTAAAATATCATCAAAATTAAAAAATTTAATATTTTAAACTATAGATGTCTATTTCATTTTTGCACCTAAACCTAAGTAACACATTTCTTTATTCAATTTAGAATTAATTCCCCCATTTTCTCTATCTCCAATTCTTGTTTCCATTTTAACATCCTTGCATTCATGCTGCATGGCTACTTGCGCTCTAAATTTGGAATGGATTTTTAATCATCACGGCGGTTAGCTTTTACGCACGATGTTTAAACAAATTCTTTTAAAACAGTTTTTTAAAAAAAATTCCTTTGTGTCAAATACATTGAAATGATGTTACAGAAAACAGCCCCCCACAATGGTGGATGAATAGATATCGTCATAGGGATGAATTTTGTAACCAAGGTGAGTTCAAATAATTAATGGATTTGCGCATGTAGCTCTCATTGCTTCTTAATTTAAACATGCAGCGTATATTAGTTATTTATGCAAATTTTGATTCGATTCATACTTACCAATATTCCTACGTAGAGATCAGTTTTGAATTGAAGTATACATAAGTTTTCTAAATTTTGAACAGCTTTCAGTCAACAGTCTTCTGGTATTTTTATTTGTATTATTTCTTTTATTGTTATATTTTCCATCTCTTTCTCCTTTCTTTTACAGGGAAACAGTTCAAAACTTACAATTAGAGACACTTGCTTAAAAGCTTTAGATTTTCTTTTTTACAAGCCACATAAGCTTTTACACCGAGACACATAGTCGGTTTAAATGTATTTTTATGAGCCATAAAACCTCTCATCTTTACACAATTATTTTTACGAGGTATATAAGCGTTTTAGATCAATAATTTCTACAAGTCCTTTTGAGCATTTTTGATAATGTTAATTTAACAAGAATTAATAGAAGCCTATACACGAATACTTACAATAGGAGTCGTGACTGGTGTTCAAGGACAGGTTCCGTAAAGGACTGGGGTTCAATCCTCAGTAGCGACTTGAAGCCCACCCAGTTTCAAATCGATGTTAACAGCTTGTCTGAGAAGTAAAGATAGCTTGTGCGAAACGCTGACCACATTTCTCTAATCATGCCGTTAATCCCGAAAATGTGGAACCATGAATCCCCCCCTCCCCCTCTGGTCCACAATAGGCTGTTATGAGTATGCTTTACTACAAGGCGCATGCATAAGCAAACAAATGTATCAGATAGGCTTATTTTTACACCGGCTGTATAAGTATTTTAAATATCTGTTTTTACAAACCATAGAAAAGATTTTAGAAGCAGTATAATTTACAAGCCATATTAACGTTTTAAATACGGTTATTTTTACAACCCTTTTAAATAATTAACTAAACTAGTTTTCAGATAGTTTTTTTGCAGGCCATATAACAGGAAAGTTTTACATATGATAAAATTATATTTTTTAATGTGTGTGAAATGTATTTCGAATTGCAGAATTACATTACACCTATATTATTTGAAAATATATTGTAATAATTATTCCAAAACTTACGATTTTAAAACCTTAAAACTTTATTGCAAAAATAAGTACCGAGAATTTCTTTTTCAAGTTAGCTTTTTAAAATTACTACTCAGTGTGCAACCATAATTCGGACATCAACATTAATTTTGCAATTATAAATCAAACTACCAATATGTAATAAAACAATCAAAAATAGAAACAATATACAGTAAACATCGTAATCCTTCCAGATTTTTACAATACAATTGCTGAAACACTGTCAAAATTCCTGAACGAAACAATGTGGCCGATAATTTAATGATTGGGTTCAGAAATTTGTTAAAAGGCCTTAAAACTCTTATCGTTAAAAGTTGAAAAGTTATACTTGCTTACATTACCATAAATATGTCTTTAGTTAAATCATCCGTTTATCAAACTAAGCTATTGTGCAATAAAGTTTTTCTTCAATAAAAAAAAATTCACCAAGTTTCACGTCTCAAAGCTAAGTTCGAAGCTGATTACCAAGTTGAACAAAATTACCATTATATTTTATGGAGCAATTTATCCCTATTTATGCAGTTTTTAAAGAATACAAATCTGCTTCCTAAAGTTTCAATTGGTTTTCCTCACATTCCTTCCTGTTGCATTTTTTTTTCTATATTGCAATTGGCGTTACAAATTCTACATATTGTAAACGATATTCAGTTTCTTTATATTAAAACATTTATTTTGCAATCGAAGTTTAACGTGTCTCTTATTTTCTAGTGTCTGTAGACTTAGTATTTCCACAGCTGAGGGACAATTTTAAATTAAAATATGGGTTTTTTTTATAAATATGAAGAAAAAAATATTTTTATATACTCACATTTGGTACTAACATATTTCAAGCATAGATCCATATTTACAAAATGTTTCTTCTTTTTTTTCTTTTTTGACTAATATGTTAAATAATCCTATACATCACGGGCGAAACGAAACTTTAGAATCGCCCAACATAGTACAGAGTATCATACATTATAAATAAAATTTTGAAGTCGATGTCATCTAAATTTGATAAGAGAATTGATAAATTAATTTACATTTCTTTGTAAATTTAGTTAAAATATCCTATTGTTTTATTTCCACTTTAACACGAAAAGCATTCAAAGGTTAAAATGGAAAAAAAATAATGATGCAGTTTTTATTTTCTGAGAAGTTCAGCTGACTTAACTCGAAAAGGCCGTTAGATTGGAAAACCCTCCATAGAAACGCCCAAGCTAACATCATTTGAAAATATGATTTGTTTGTGGATAACAAAAAAAGTGTAAGGGAAAAAGCACATTGTTTTTAGAAGACGCAAAGCGAATTGATGGATTGATGATGTAGTTCCAAACTTATAATTTTATCATCTTTATTAAAATATCGCAATTGCTTCGAATTCAAATAAATTCCTTCGTATTACGTAACATAATGAACTCTATTTTATTTCTCCAGGGCGATCATGGGACAACTTTGATATCCGGGACGAGATTGAACTGACGAAGAATTCCGTCGAGAGACTGGATTCACAAATGACCACACTCACCCAGGATGTGGCCAGCTTGAGTCAAGAAGTTCGCCTGATTCTTGCACTTCTGACAGAGAAGTACGAGAGCAGGGTGGCACTGCCACCACAGATATCCCAGTCCTGTGAATCATTACCTAGCAGACAGTGTCCCACCAACACATTCCTGCCGAGACGGGCATCCTCCCAGCCTCTGAGACTGCCCAGCACTGGATCCAGACAGGGGGGTGAAATAGAAGAAAAACTGTCCCCGTCCACTGTTGAGTCAGAAACCCAGACGGACTGGTACCTTTTGGACGATATTCTGAATAGAAGATGCCCAACAACCATCAGGAACTCTGGATGCCCTTGTTCACCGCAGAGCGAAGAAAGAGTAAAGTTTTTAATCGGACCTTCGACCAGTGTTAGGGAAGACGAGGGTTACAACTCAACTCCTCAGAGCATATGGTCAAAAGAGACCAGTCCCCACGATTCAGGGGGCAGTGGAACACATAACATACGAATGGCAGCCTTCTGGAGCTCTGCCGATTCTGAAACATCTGTGCCTTCATCATCAAGATATAGAAGTTCTATGAACGGTAGTCGCGATAGCACTGCGCGAAATGACGTTCCAGAACACATTATTGAGATCGATGGTTCTACGTCCATTCGGCGTAAGCTGTCGACTGAATTATAGTCTTTTTTTTTTCATTCTTAACATTGCTGAGCGTTTCAGATTATCTCCTGTATTCTTGCACAACTTCTTTATACCGTATCCAAGCCAAATTTTAAGCCGCGTAACTCAGGTTAAAAAAAATATTATTAACCTTAACAAAATTTGCTCAATTTAATAGCAGCTAATCTTTTTACAACGTTTTTATTTTATGATGACTTGAAATTACCAGTACAAATAGTAATCAGTCAAAGAGCATTGTTTTATTTCTATAAATTTTACTTTGTCAATTAGTTACTATTTTTACAATTTTAAGTTTTTGACGCACATTGTGTTTAACAATTTTTTTAAAATCTGTTGAATATAGTTGTTAGTTTATGTACAAATTTTACAATATTTTTTAAATAAGCGATATAATATTATTTTAATATTTTTAAATAAGTTTAAATAATTGTTTAACCCACATTTTATTTCCTTAATGGTGTTATATCGAAACAAATTAACAAATAAATTAAACAGTTCTCAGCATCATTATCCACTTGTTTTAGTCACCTGCTATTTTTTAATTATGTTATTATAGCCTGTCAAACGATTGTACTATTCGTTGTATACAATCGTTTGAAAGGCTCCGTTAATAGTTTTAAATTAATACATTTCCCTTTTTTTTAGTCATTTATTGAAATCTAAGGAATGAATACATCTGAAACAATCATTTGCTCAATAGAAAACCCAAAAAAATAACTTTAAGTGTGAAAAAAAAATTTATAATATACGCAGTTTTTGAAAATAAATCCTTATCCATTATACAAAAGAAAAATGTAATTAAAATTACAAGATGACAATCCTATCATCTTGTATTTTTAATTACATTTTTCATTATCAATTTACATTATCAATCCCGATAAACAATGTTTTCATTCATCTTTCACTAATGTGGAATGAAAATGAAAGAATTTTCGTTATTTGTTTATGTTTTCACTCACCTATAAGTTGCGTTTTGACAAACAAATAAAAAAAAAAACTGCACCTGGTATATATTCTTCAATCTTTCGTCTTTCTTGAGTTAAACTTTTGCAAGAGCAAAGCGCAATTTCTTCTAACCTAACTGGACCAATTTCAATTTATAAATTAGAGTTTATTCATCTTTTCTCTACAAATGTGTCAAATAGCAAGATCGAACTCAACCAAGATCAGTTTATTTACACACGATTTTCTCACCAGAATATATCAAGTACAATGCATTAATGTTATTAACGATAGAAATGTTGCAATTGCGCTAATATTTTATATATTTTTTTCTCCACATTATCATCTTTTGGTAATGAATTAATCTGGATTTTACTAATCCAAATATTACGTCAAATATATTCTTTTTCCACGTTATCATCTTTTCTATTAAATTAAGGGCCTCTGTTTAGCGTGGGAAAGACAGGAAGAGCGAACTCAACTATGATCAATTCATTTAATCTCACAATCAAATTAAGGATCAGAAATCAAATTACGAAAGAAAAACTCACTATAAAGTCTAAGATGGTGAAAACAAGGATTCGAGAACAGCGACTCTTTAAGATATAAGTTCTATTTTTCCTTAATCAAAACTTTGGGGATATGAAATATATAAAGTAAAAAACTGAAATGGAAGTACGACATGGGTTTAATTATTTCATTACTCATTTTATAACTGTATTAATGATTAAACATCATTCCGTTATACAAAATATCCACCTATCTAAGTTTTCTTTATTCATCAAACTTTGTTTACTAAATTAAAATCTGGCTGTGATTATCTTAAGGCCCTGTTTGAACCTGTTATGTTGCAATACTAGGATGTGTTGTGCAAGGCTAGGATAGATAACCTGAAAAGAAACGCATGTCTTTCTAACTATTCTTCCAACTTCAATGTGCTTATATATTTCTCCAAGAATGGTTTGTTCTCTAAATGTTATTTTCATTAAACTCTTATTAGAAAGATCTGAACAAAAAAACTTCCTAAAACTGTAAAGAGACGATGATAATGTAACTGGAACAAAAATGAATTGTTAAAAAAGGAGTTAACATTTTTAAATTTTTATACAATTAAAAAGTATTTTTATGTTACATTTTCCAAAGGGCAAAGTTTACGTCCTTTGTGTAAGTAATTTACTATTCAGCAGTTAAAACTTTACATTGCAGCTTTTTTTTTATTAAAGCTATATTACAGTTTTTATAGAATTTTGAAAATAACTTTTAATAATTTCTTAACTGTTTTACATTTCTTATCTAAACCGTTGAACTTTCTATTGACGCACCAACAAAAATAAAAGAACACATATCGACATATCATAGTTCGTTAACGTTTTGTTTATTTCACAATAATGTTTCCATTCTGAAACCTATCACTATTAGAAAATCACTACTTCCTTTCTCTTTTAATTTGAAAACAAAAATGATTACATGAAATAATTTTAATAAGTTTCATGAAGTAACTTTAAACCATTGTACTGCATACGATTCTTATTTAATGACTTAATCTGGAAAAAAATTATAATATTTATTTGAAATAAATTGTTTAAGAAAGTAACTTATCAAAAATTTCGATCATTTCAAATTTAATTATTTATTCAACACTACTCATTGCTACTTTAATAAAAATAAAAAAGCAAACTATTAACATTGACTTTTACTTTCAATAAATAATCTTTAATATGTTGTTTCGAAAATAACATTATGTTATTTCTAAAAATAGCATTCAAATAATACATTTGATAGTTTTATTAGCTTTATTTCCTGTACTAATCGGTTAAAACGTTTAAAATATATGGAGACTAAATATAAATGCGATAAACAAAAGGCTACGGATCAATTTAAATGGCATTTCCATTCATCCTTTTACTTTAATACGACGATGCTTAAATAAGAACAACTTAAACTTTTTTATAACATAAATGGAACATACATCATTTCGAAAAGAAATTACTGCTTCAAAGAAATAATATTTAATTTTATAACAGTGCAGTTAAATTGTTTTACTGATGCGTCTTATATATTTTTCAAAAACTGTCTCTAAAAAGTATGAATTTATCTTTAAAAATGCTTTCGAAAAACAAATAACCGCTTCTGCAGCAACAATAAGAGTTCACCTGTAGTACAATTGCTGCATAAAATATGTTACGATTACGGTATAAAAACATATCATTATTGAAAATTTAAGCTCAAAAATAGTTTTGTAAGGTCAGTATTTTCTGAACAAAATAAATATCTCCATGTATCATATAAAAACAATTCTTACTATTTTTTGCATTTTTATTGAAGAGAAAAAAAAATGATATAATAGTTAACACTAATACCCTTAACTATTTGCTATCTGACTAGGGTGATCCGTTTAAGAGAGGAATCAAGAGTTTTCCGTTATTTACCTAAGTAATGTGAGCGTTAACCATATCGTAAAATTTTAAAATTTCGCTTCTCTAATTCTATCAACTAATTTTTTGATCGTTTGATTGTATTAACTTGATTCTTTAGACATTGAAATCAAAATAGATATTATGTTAATTTTTTTAATGGCAATCAAATTTTAAACCGTTTCATTCTTGATATTATTGCTTTTATTGTGATTGATTCTATTAACTATTGTGTTGACTGTTTGATTGTAATAGCTTTCTTTTCTAGATAGCGAAAAATAAATAAACAACATGTTAATTTAAGCATACGTTACTGTTGTGCCAGCAAAGATCTTATTTTCACTTTAAGGAATACCAAGAGTGCAGATTACCCTAGTAGTTTGCCAATTAACTGTATAAATTGAGAAATGAAAGGAAAAAAAATTGGTACTTTAACGGAACTCCTTAATTAATCTGCACATTAACTATAATTGGCCTTGCAGAATAAATTTCTACACTTCAGTGGTAACATAATTATTAATAACCTAAGAAGATCCGGTTAACTTTAACTGTCATTAAGATAAAATTAATACAAATTATAACGGTATTTACCAGTAAATTATTTATTCATCCCATATTCAACAGTATTTTCCGATAATCTTGATTTATCACCTCTTCTTAACATTATTCGCAATTATTGCTAGATTTATTATTTTAACTATTTTTATTTTCATTATTTCGATTATTATTTGAATCAATTTTTGAATAATTATTCAAAATTAGAAGCTAGGGACTAAAAGTGTTGCTCTTTCATTGTTTTACAAAGTAATCGTATATTACGTACCTTATTATGCAAAATTTTATGATAAAGATATTCAATTACCGTTTTACAGTCAGAAAGTAAAAAATAAGTTAGTTACAAAATAAATAGTTACATTGACTTCTGTTACAAATTTTATATAAAACTGTGGTCAGTCAATGTATGTATTTAAAGTAAAGATTGACAAAGAACTATTCAAAATTCCAAAGTATTACGAATTAACTTTTCACCTAAATTTATTTCACCTTTTCGTCTTAGGCGACATTATCTTTTTAAATTTCTCATTGATTCTTTATGTGCCATTTTTAAAATTCTGCTGTGCCACACTAAGGTGCGTGTGTCACGGGTTGGCCATCCATGATTAAATAACACAAATCTTTGTTTTTCTTCGTACTTTTCAAAAATAATTGCAATGAAATATAAAGTAGATTTAACTCATTAGGATCATGAATTAAGCCACGGAGCGAATTACAGCGAAATAGTAATGTTTTTTTTCTCCCTAAAATCAGTTATTTTTTTAATTAATTAATTAAAATTAATTATTTTTGTAATTTTATTTAATTAATTAATAATTAAAATTAATTTTTCTTCATTTTATTTATTTAATTAATTCAAAAAATTTTTAATTTTATTTAATTAATTAGTTAATTTTTTTTTTAATTTAATTATTTTTTTTTAATTTAACGGTTTACGCCGAAATTTTTTAAAATGTAAGAATTTTGGGGAGGTTTTAATTTCTCGTTTACATTTTTAGCACCAGTCGTACTTTTCTTAAAGCTTCAAAATTGGCAATGCATAACTGACAAAATATTTAAGAGAATAGATCAATAGCAAAATCGCAAGAAAATGTTTTAGAAATAGTCGAAATTATATTAAGTAAGATGGTCTTTCTTTCCCTTAAATTATAAAGTAATTAGGAAACCGTCTGTTTTTAAAATCCTCAAAAGGGCAATAAGAATATAAAAGGAATAGAATTAAAGGAAATTTCTATATCCTTTAGTAGAATTTACGGAATGATTCTTCCATATTATCTTCATAATTCCGAATTTATCTCCGATCACAATGCAGTCAGAGATCATTATTGTAAAAATTCAGTTCAATATCATATACCTGTAGCAAAATTAGAAAATACTAAGTCTTTAACAATGACACATAAAAACTGCATGTTGTTTAAAGTTAGGTTGAATTTTATACAATACTAAAAAATTTGGAATAAATTGCTCT